TCGGCCGAGCCACCAGCTGATTGTCAAAATTCGCCGGCTTTGGCCGCTTGCTTCACTCCCTTCGTCGCTGCTCGCTCCAGCATGGCTCTCGCCGCCTGCAATCAACCCCGACTGCCCAAGAGGAAGCCTTGGAAGTGGGGACCGGGCAGGGAAGGCCCGATCCCCGGTTGGGAGCGCTAGTTCCACCAAGGACAGGACAGCGGAACGTAGCTCCCCCTTAGCTCCAGCTCCTGTTTCAATAATGAACTGATCTTCTGATGGCCAGCCTAAGCCATAGGCTGGCCCCTGCCTCCAGAAACCCCTCCGTCTAGGCTTTTGGGATTTCTAGACTTTCTTTACCTTTTTATGAAATGAAATAAAAATAAAATACTTTCCTATGAATGGAGATTGGGATGGGTGGTGGGTTGTGATACATGAAATGCCTGTATATGGATGATGCCTGTATTTTATAAATATGAAATATGTATCCCTCAATGAACTCCCCTGTATCTTCCCCTCCTTGACCCCTTACCCCAAGAAACCGGCGTGACCAGGAACTGCCTGGGGAAAGAGCCCAAGCCTCTCTTCCCTAAATCACCCATTGATTGGCCCATCCTGCATGGACAATGCTGCTGGCCCCCCAATTTCGTCTTCGGAGCAAGGCCAACGAAGGAGGGCAGGGTCAGCAGAGCCTCGGAATAAAAGACTGATTGATTCACTCAGAAATTGTTGATCCTCCGGGCGGTCCGATTTCGACCCAGCTATTCATATCACTTGCCAGACCCATTAAGGACAGGAAAGCCTTTGTTTGACAAACATCACCTGGGACAATGGCCCGCATTCCAGCGGGCAGGAAATCCCAAATCCCATCATCTCTCCCCCATTGTCCACGGCTGTCACGCCTCCTCGCTCCTGATTGGACAGAACCCGGGAAGCGAGAAGAGGGCGCCCATTGGCCCTCTCCAGGCGAAGAAACGCTCCCATTGGCTCCTGACGGAGGAGGGCGGGATTACCTCCTCCCAGCTGTTCCAGCCTCAGCCAATCAGCAGGAAGCCGGCTGACAGAGGGGCGGGCGGGATTTTCAAACTGCTTTTCTTTGTTCTTCACTGTATAAAAGTGCCTGTAAATTCTTGTGCTGCATGCTTACAGTGGAATGATTCCTGTAATGCATCCTTTTCAGCTGAATCGCAAATAAACCTCGATCGCTGGACTTCTTCCGCCTCTGATGAGCTTATTAATTCTTTTAAATATTTCTGCGCTCTTGGATTGGCTTCCAGAAAGCTCACCAAGGTATCCAGGACACTTTGATGCGGTCCTTGGGCTCTCCTCCCTGGAGAGGCCCCCTAAAAGAGCTCGATATCACTTTGAAGGAACTGGGGATGGACACAGCCGACAGGGAGCTCTGGCATTGGGTTGGTCCATGAGGTCCCAAAGAGTTAGAAACAATTGAACGAATAAATAACAACAACAGGAATTTTGCCCATGCCTATTCCTATTCTTTCCATGTTCATTCTTCCATCAGAATCAAATTTTCTCTACTTTCTTAGACAAGGTGTACCTGAGATAGATGCACCAATGACCTAATTTAATAAAAAAGTTAGCATGTTATGTTCTGAAATAATCCCAGGATCATACAGACTGTACTGCAGAAAGTTTGAAAGCTGTGCGTTTCCATGGCATGATAATAAACCAGAGCACATTAACGAAAAGACATTATATGCCAGGCAATTTTCCTGCAAGGAGACACTTTCCCTGAATAATTCCCAAGGAATTGAAAACCTTCCATTTTTCAATGGCACTTGTGTCTCCTCCTCCCTGTCACCAGCCGCTGAGATTTATCACATTACATGTTGAAAGGGAGGAAAAAAACTTGTAAGGAAATCTATTCTCCACATTCTCGGCTCATAAATAGTTGACCAGCATGCAAAAAGCTCTTAATCCTGTTATAATCTATTCAAGCAAAGAAAATCTGTGGAAAATAACTGCTGGCAAATTGTTTCGGCAGAAGCAATCCTAAGGGTTTGTGGTGATGGAAACGGCTGCAGGCTGCAGTTAAAATTCACAGCACCTATGGGTTTCTAGTGAATTTAGGAATGGTGTTCATACAGCAAGAAAAGAGCATTTAAAGCCATTGTTATCAGAGGCTTTGTTAGAATTTATTTATGACATCTTACTTTAACTTACTGGACATTTGCACGTGAGGTCACAAAGAGTCGGAAACAACTGAATGAATGAACAACAACAAACATTGCACATCTCCAGAGAGCCACATTACAAGCATGTGGACAATTTCAACAGAAAGGAGGAAACCATGAAAATGAACAAAATCTGGCTACCAGTATTAAAAAACTCTAAAATTAGAACAGCACAACAACAGAGAGGAAACAAACAAGGACATCTAATCACCTCTCAACAAAAGATTGCTCCAGGCACTGCCAGGTAATCAAATGCTAATCAAGGTGGTCAGTTGAAACATTCACACCTAGCTCCAGCAGACAAGAGTCCTTTGTCCCACCCTGGTCATTCCACAGATATATAAACCCATTTTCCTAGTTCCAACAGACCTCACTACCTCTGAGGATGCTTGCCATAGATGCAGGTGAAACATCAGGAGAGAATGCCTCTAGAACATGGCCATATAGCCCGAAAAAACCTACAACAACCCAGGCAACATTACTGTTTGTAATTTGGGCAAAACAGCTCCAGAAAATGCTGTTTTGAACATCCGTATGATCTAAAACAGGCATGGACAAACTTCGGGCCTCCAGATGTTTTGGACTTCAACTCCCACAATTCCCAACAGCCTACCTTCTGTTAGGAATTGTGGAGTTGAAGTCCAAAACACCTGGAGGACTGAAGTTTGTCCATGCCTGATCTAAAATGTCTATATTGCAATAGCTTCCATGAGAAGCATTTCAATATGATCCAAACCTCATATCTGTAGGAGCAGCACCAGAACTTTCATTTATCCAGTCCTAACAAAATATCCCATCTCCAGGTATTGTCTATGTCCTCCAGCATGACACTCCAGGAATTCTTAGACCTTTCATTTATCCATGATTTTGGTCGTGTCAGGAGCGACTTGGGAAACTGCAAGTCACTTCTGGTGTGAGAGAATTGACCATCTGCAAGGACGTTGCCCAGGGGACGCCCAGATGTTTTTTTTGATGTTTTGCCATCCTTGTGGACAAACTTTGTGGGAGGCTTCTCTCATGTCCCCGCATGGAGAGCTGAAGCTGATAGAGGGTGCTCATCCGCCTCTCCCTGGATTCGAACCTGTGACCTCTCGGTCTTCAGTCCTGCCGGCACAGGGGTTTAACCCACTGCACCACCGGGGGCTCCTATCGATTATGTTTAATGCTGTTTTAATATTTGTCCATTTGTATATTTTATATTGTATGCTGATGTTTTTATGTTAAGCTGCTTCAAGTCTCCTGCAAGAAAGATGAAGCGGGGTACAAATAATAATAATAACAACAACAATAATAACCATCATCATCATATCCTCAGCTGCTGCAAGAAAATCTCACAGATGGACTACAAACAGAGGCACAACTCTGTGGCCCAAATTGGAACTTATGTCACAATGACCACCTGCCAGTAGTAAAGAACTGGTGGGCTCATAAACCTGCAAAGATAGTGGAGAATGAACACGCAAAAATCCTTTGGGGAAAAGGTTTAGGGTTTGGGTTAGGATTAAGGTTATTTATTATTTACGTATTTTATTTACGTAATTTTTATCCCGCTCATATCAGAATGGGGAACGAGTGGCTCGAGAGCAGTACCTGTGGAAAAGATCTTGGGGTCCTCATGGACAACAAGTTAAACATGAGACAACAATGTGATGCGGTGGCAAAAAAAGCCGATGGGATTTTGGTCTGCATCAATAGGAGTATAGTGTCTAGATCTAGGGAAGTAATGCTACCCCTCTATTCCACCTTGGTTAGACCACACCTGAAATATTGTGTCCAATTCTGGGCACCACAATTCAAGAGAGATATTGACAAGCTGGAATGTGTCCAGAGGAGGGCGACTAAAATGATCAAGGTTCTGGAGAACAAGCCCTATGAGGAGTGGCTTAAGGAGCTGGGCATGTTTAGCCTGAAGAAGAGAAGGCTGAGAGGAGATATGATAGCCATGTATAAATATGTGAGAGGAAGTCATAGGGAGGAGGGAGCAAGCTGCCCTGAAGAATAGGACGCGGAACAATGGCTTCAAACTACAAGAAAGGAGATTCCATATGAACATGAGGAAGAACTTCCTGACTGTGAGAGCTGTTCAGCAGTGGAACTCTCTGCCCCGGAGTGTGGTGGAGGCTCCTTCTTTGGAAACTTTTAAACAGAGGCTGGATGACCATCTGTTGGGGGTGCTTTGAATGCAATTTTCCTTCTTCTTGACAGGGGTTGGGCTGGATGGCCCATGAGGTCCCTTCCAACTCTATGATTCTATGATATCCACTAAAAAATAAATAAAATAAAGGAAGAGAGAGAGGGGATGCTAGAGAGTCAATCTGCTGTTTCACTGATGCTTTTGCATACAAACAGCTGGTTCCATTGCAGATTGCTGCCCCCTAGTGGCTGATGTCAATATAGATATCTGATAAAGAGTTTCAACCACAATTCAACATTGTGGCAGCCACAAAAACAAAGTTTCTAGAGTAGAAAAACTACTTCCAAAGTAAGGATCGCACAATTATACAGGAAATAAGAACCAGGAACAGATTTTCAAATTTTGCTACATAGTGTGATTATTATTATTTAGCATTATATATGATACACAATAAAAGTAGGCAACTTGCACAACTTTACTGTTTCTTTTCCCCCTTTCTTTGCAAACAAATCAGCAAAAAATACACTCCATTCTCCCTTTTTAAAAGAAGTGACACTCTGCTTTTAAACTACTCATCCCACGCCTTCCTGCAATATTTTGGACTACTTTTCCCAGAATACTTTCCAGCCGGAAGTGAGATAGAGGAGCCTCCACAGTCAGAACTACATTTCCCAGCAAGCCTTGCGCTCCAAACAGGAAGTGGGCTCTCTTTTTTCAAAATCCTTGATTCAGAAGCAAGTCAGGAAGATGCTGAAGTTGAGTGGCTGTGGGGTGAAGCTCTTGGTCGGCTTGCCCACATCTCTGAGAGGTGAGAGATGTTGGATAGAAGGAAATAAGAATGCACCCTATTAAAATCCTGGGAAAAGCTAATTTATTTCTGATCAACTTAGAGCTAAGCCAGGTTTGGGCAAATTTGGGCCCTCCAGGTGTTTTGGACTGCAACTCTCACAATTCCTAACAGCCGGTAGGCTGTTAGGAATTGTGGGAGTTGCAGTCCAAAACACCTGGAGGACCCAAGTTTGCCCAAGTCTGCACTACACCATGCTGCCTTTCTTTCCCTATATTACGGTATTAAACTACTAGCCACCCACTGTCATATGTTGCTGTGGCTCAGTCTGTGTATATGTGTTTTGTGTATGTGTATATATGTGGTTTTATAGAATCAAAGAGTTGGAAGAGACCTCATGGGCCATCCAGTCCAACCCCCTGCCAAGAAGCAGGAATATTGCATTCAAAGCACCCCTGACAGATGACCATCCAGCCTCTGTTTCAAAGCTTCCAAAGAAGGAGCCTCCACCACACTCCGGGGCAGAGAGTTCCACTGCTGAACGGCTCTCACAGTCAGGAAGTTCTTCCTAATGTTCAGGTGGAATCTCCTTTCTTGTAGTTTGAAGCCATTGTTCCGCGTCCTAGTCTCCATGGAAGCAGAAAACAAGCTTGCTCCCTCCTCCCTGTGGCTTCCTCTCACATATTTATACATGGCTATCATATCTCCTCTCAGCCTTCTCTTCTTCAGGCTAAACATGCCCAGCTCTTTAAGCTGCTCCTCACAGGGCTTGTTCTCCAGACCCTTGATCATTTTAGTCGCCCTCCTCTGGACACATTCCAGCTTGTCAATATCTCTCTAGAATTGTGGTGCCCAGAATTGGACACAATATTCCAGATGTGGTCTAACCAGAGCAGAATAGAAGGGTAGCAGTACTTCCCTAGATCTAGACACTAGGCTCCTATTAATGCAGGCCAAAATCCCATTGGCTTTTTTTGCCGCCACATCACATTGTTGGCTCATTTTGTGCATGTGTTATAATGTATTGTTATTTCTTGGCTTTTTAAGTTTCTTCCACTGTGTTTTTCAGTATTTTTATGAGTGATGGTCACTCGTTGGCCTGATAGGTGTCTTGTGTCCACATTTGGTGTCAATCTGTCCAGTGGTTTTTGAGTTATGTTAATCCCACAAATGAACATTTTTATTTATATAGACTAGCCGTCCCCTGCCAGGCATTGCTGTGGCCCAGTCTGGTGATCTGGAAAATAAAGTAATGAGAAAGTGTTGGTTTCTAATATACGTAATGTCTTGATGCTTGTGGGTAGACAGTATTTCTTGCTGTTTCTTTGTCAGTGTTGATGTCGAGATTGTCTGTTTTGCCTACTCTGGAACATGCAACATATAATTGTCTTTCCATAAGGGTCATTTTCAAATCCAGGATACTATATCTCTCTATGTTTGTGAATCATATATATCTATATCTATGGCTGGATGGCTCTTTGTCACGAGGGCTTTGATTACGTTTTCTTGCCCTGGTGAAGGGAGTTGGACTAGATGGCCTTAAGTATTTTCTGTTGGTCATGGGAGTTCTGTGTGGGAAGTTTGCCCCAATTCTGTCGTTAGTGGGGTTCAGAATGCTCTTTGATTGTAGGTGAACTATCAATCCCAGTAACTACAACTCCCAAATGTCAAGGTCTACTTCCCCCAAAATCTGTGTTCATATTTGGGCGTATTGAGTATTCGTGCCAAGTTTGGTCCAGATCCATCATTGTTTGAGTCCACAGTGCTCTCTGGATGTAGGTGAACTACAACTCCCAAACTCAAGGTCAATGCCTACCAAACCCTTCTAGTGTTTTCTGTTGGTCATGGGAGTCCTGTGTTCCACGTTTGGTTCAATTCCATCATTGGTGGAGTTCAGAATGCTCTTTGATTGTAGATGAACTATAAATCCCAGCAACTACAACTCCCAGATGAAAAAATCAATCCCCCCCAACTAAAGCTCCCACATGACAAAATCTTTTTTTTAGTGATGGTCACTCCTTGGGTTAGTAGGTGTCTTGTGGCCAAATTTGGTGGCATTTCGTCAAGTGGTTTTTGAGTTACGGTACTCCCACAAACCATCATTACATGTTTATATAGATTTGGTAATACCCATTTCTTTGCCCTTCTCAGGTTTTGCAGCCTCCACGTCAGTGAAGTCCTACGATGTCCGAAGAGTCGAGATAACTCCTCTGGAGCAAAGGAAGCTCACTTTTGACACGCATGGGCTTGTGCGAGACCTTGAGGCACACGGTGAGTCCAGACCGTGGCTCAAGATTTCTCCTCCCCTCATAGGGCAAATTTTGCCACTTTAAGGAATACAGAACTGTTTGTTTTCCTTCTGCAGAAGGGATGAGGTTGCATTTCACCTCTGTACCCCTCCAGGAAGGACATCAGACCACTTCCAGTTTTGGCTTAGTTTTTCATGTTGTATCTGGATAGAGGTAGCCTGGCTGTTGTTGCCTGGAGGCATCTTCTGTTTTCCTGTGCTTTTTTAATAGTGTTCCTTATTTACTGTCTTGAAACGTCAGGAGAGAATGTTTCTGGAACATAGCCATACAGCCCAGAAAACTCACAGAAACCCAGTGATTCCGGCCATGAAAGCCTTCAACAACTCAAGGCTAAAAGACCTTGTGAAACAACAATTCCCGTGGTTCCATAGCAGTGAGCCATGGCAGTTGAAGTAGTGTCAAACTGCATTGAATCTACAATGTTAGAAGTCTCTCTCTCTCTCTCCATCAAATTCAGCTTGATGGCAATTAACCGCAAACCCTAGTTATGATGTTTGGGGCCATTCATATTCAGCTGATGGAAGTCCTTTGTTAAATGTTATGTTAAATGTTATGTTTCTGTCAACCCTGCAGGTTTTGCAAAAGAGCAAGCCGAAACCATCGTTTCAGCCATAACAGCTTTGTCAACTGTCAGTCTGGACACAGTCTACAAGGATATGGTCACCCAAGCCCAGCAGGTAAGAAATGACCCTTCTGTAGATGTCATGTTCCTCAAGGACTATTGTGCTTATCAGCGTGGTGGTTCCTATCCCAAGTTTTGCTCAAGAAGGCCATAGATCAATGGTTCTCAACCTGTGGGTTCCCAGATGTTTTGGCCTTCAACTCCCAGAAATCCCAGCCAGCTTGCCAGCTGTTAGGATTTCTTGGAGTTGAAGACCGAAACATCTGGGGACCCACAAGTTGAGAACCACTTTGTAAAGTCAGGTTTGGGATTTAGAAAATACACGGGGGACGTGGGGGGGGGGGGGGTATTTTTGTCAGAGATCAATAAATGTATAGTGCTACACAGTGCAACAGGAATTGTACTATGCACATAAGTACATTTATTTATTTGTCGTGTTAGAGCAGCCAGTCCATTATATTACATTTCTAACAGAACAAAGCAAACAAACAGACAAAATACACAACTTGTGAGTTTGGTAGCTGGTTAAATGTCCTTTGACCAGTATCTGGCCATTTGGAGTGCTTCCGGTGTTGCTGCAAGAAGGTCCTCCATTGTGCATGTGGCAGGGCTCAGGTTGCATTGCAGCAGGTGGTCAGTGGTTTGCTCTTCTCCACACTCGCATGTCGAGGATTCTACTTTGTAGCCCCATTTCTGAAGGTTAGCTCTGCATCTCGTGGTGCCAGAGCGCAGTCTGTTCAGCGCCTTCCAAGTCGCCCAGTCTTCTGTGTGCCCAGGAGGGAGTCTCTCATTTGGTATCAGCCATTGGTTGGAAGTGCTGGGTTTGAGCCTGCCACTTTTGGACTCTCACTTGCTGAGGTGTTCCAGCGAGTGTCTCTGTAGATCTTCGAAAACTATGTCTACATTTAAGTCGTTGGCGTGCTGGCTGATACCCAAACAGGGGATGAGCTGGAGATGTCTCTGCCTTGGTCCTTTCACTATTGGCTGCTACTTCCCGGCGGATGTCAGGTGGTGCAATACCGGCTAAGCAGTGTAATTTCTCCAGTGGTGTAGGGCGCAGACACCCCGTGATAATGCGGCATGTCTCATTAAGAGCCACATCCACTGTTTTAGTGTGGTGAGATGTGTTCCACACTGGGCATGCGTACTCAGCAGCAGAGTAGCATAGCGCAAGGGCAGATGTCTTCAATGTATCTGGTTGTGATCCCCAGGTTGTGCCAGTCAGCTTTCGTATGATATTGTTTCTAGCACCCACTTTTTGCTTGATGTTCAGGCAGTGCTTCTTGTAGGTAAGAGCACGGTCCAAAGTGACTCCCAGGTATTTGGGTGCGCTGCAATGCTCCAGTGGGATTCCTTCCCAGGTGATCTTCAGAGCTCGGGATGCTTCTCTGTTCTTGAGATGAAAGACACATGTCTGTGTTTTACATAAGTAAATGCCAAGTGGATACTTACAAATCAGTTTATTTGATACCTGTACATGCAAACTGGTCCTAAGAAAAAAGAGGATTTTTTATTATATCTGGCTACAGGGATTTTTTTATAGTAACAAAATAAATAAATTGCTGCAGAAACACTGCACAAACATTGTATAGACCAGTGGTTCTCAACCTTCCTAATGCTGTGACCCCTTAATACAATTCCGAATGTTGTGGTGACCCCCAACCATAAAATTATTTTCGTTGCTACTTCATAACTGTCATTTTGCTACTGTTATGAATCATAATATACATATCTGATATGCAGGATATATTTTCATTCACTGGACTGATATGGCCAAATTTGAATACTGGTGGGGTTGGGGGGCGGGGTTGATTTTACCATTTGGGAGTTGTAGATGTTGGGATTTATAGTTCACCTGCAATCAAAGAGCATTCTGAACTCCACCAACGATGGAATTGGGCCAAACATGGCACACAGAACTCCCATGACCAACAGAAAATACTGGAAGGGTTTGGTGGGCATTGACCTTGAGTTTTGGATGTAGTTCGCCTGCATCCAGAGACCATTGTGCACTCAATGATGGATCTGGACTAAACTTGGCACGAATACTCAATATGACCAAATGTGAACACTGGTGGAGTCTGGGGAAAATAGACCTTGACATTTTGGGAGTTGTAGTTGCTGGGATTTATAGTTCACCTACAATCAAAGAGCATTCTGAACCCCACCAATGATAGAATTGGGCCAAACTTCCCACACAGAACCCCCATGACCAAGATAAAATGCTGTGTTTTCTGATGGTCCTTAGTGACCCCTCTGACACTCCCTCGTGACCCCCCCAGGGGTCCCGACCCCCAGGTTGAGAACCACTGGTATAGACCATGTTTGTGTCATGCTCCCATGGTGTGGAGAGACCATGTTCAATCTCTCCACACGATGCACCAGGCATATTATAAGGTGGTGTATAAAGGACCAGGCTGTGGTGCAGCTAGTTAGTAGCCAGCTGCATTAAATCACTACTGACTGAGAGGTCATGAGTTTCAAAGCCAACCCGGGTCGGAGTGAGCTCCCAACCATTAATAGTCTAGCTTGCTGTTGACCTATGCGTCCTGAAAGACAGTTTCATCTGTCAAGTAGGAATTTTAGGTACCGGTTTATGCAGGGAGGCTAATTTAACTAATTTACGATACCATAAACTTTCCAGCAGTATGCATAAGAATTAGGAAGTACTCCATCAAGGACTCGATGTCACAAGTGGACAGTGAAGCGGCAGCTCCCCCTGTAGCTGGAATCGATCATACCCTTATGAAGCCGGAAAAGCTGGCATGTTAAATTGCCTCTGTTTCTGTCTATATCAGGGGTCCTCAAACTTTCTAAACAGAGGGCCAGGTCACAGTCCCTCAAACTGTTGGAGGGCCAGATTATAATTTGGAAAAAAAATGAATGAATTCCTATGCACACTGCACGTATCTCATTTGTAGTACAAAAAAACCCTAGTTGAAGATTTTCTCCTGCAATAAAATAATGTGTGCTGGGAAATATAGAAAGATTTCTGGAAATCCCAAAAGTGTTTTGTTTTTAATTTAGGAAATCACCTTGCAGCAGCTCATGGCTCATTTGGACTCCATTCGGAAAGACATGGTCATTCTTGAGAAGAGCGAGTTTGCCAACTTGAGAGCAGAGAATGAGGTATTTCTCTTAACACAAATCTCCCATGTGTTTTTCCTCCTTCCAGTCTCTTTTTCCTTCCTTTACAAGATATGGCTATAGTGCTATTATTCCACTTCAAGTATAGTGGAACAGTAAGCTTAGTGGTGTCCAATGGGAGGATTAGATTAATAGAGACTCTTGCAGGAATCACAAGGGCATCTACCAGATTCCCACAATTGATGCCTTTTGAATGGTATAGAACAGGCATGTGCAAACTTCAGCCCTCCAGGTGTTTTGGACTTCAACTCCCACAATTCCCAACAGCCCCATGCCTGATATAGAAAGTTTTCGGAACTTCAGGCAATTGTTATGAACCCAAAGAGGTTCCTGTTCTTTTGTGCAGAGTGTTCAAGGAATAGTAAGGCAGTTTAGACCAATGAGACACTTTAGAGACCAAATTTGGTTTTGACACTATTCATGTAACATTTATTGAAATACAATCATCACAGAATCATATCAGAATCACATCAAGGAGAGCTCTCATGCACACACACATTCACGCATACTCACACACACAGGCCTCCTCTGGCGAAGATGATCAGTCTTTTCTGAGGAGGTGTGGATGCTACCGTTGCCGCGGATCAGGAAGCGTGCATCTTCTTGGTGTCCCCTGCATTTATAGGCAAAAATCATTTTTCTTCTTTTTAATAATCAGGTTGTTCTTTTCCAAAGTTCAGGATATTCACATTCCAGGCCTCATGACTTATGGGGTACACCTGCACACTCCCTATCCTCCTTATATGCTTGGCCGCCCACCTTATTGTTTATTGTCATTCAGTTATGCCTTGCTGCCTCCTCGCTTTGACTGCCAAGGCCGTCCTATATCATGCCTTGCAAGAACTCCATGTTGGTTTTTCTTTAGGCCTGTTTCTTCTCTTCTACATGCATTCAACCATTCATTCCTTAGACAATACATTCAATATCAGTTTCCGAACTGCAGAAGTCTGAAATCAGTCAGACTCATGCAAATAGTGACTGACAAGGTCTAGTTGAGACAGCATTTTCTTGAGATCCAATCTCACCATTCACCTTCTCACAGGCCTTCATAACTGTTTGAAGACTCTGAATGTTTTTCATTTTCTGTGGCCCTGTTTCCTTACCTGCTGTCCTGTTCAAAGCTCATTTCTGCTGCAAAATGTCTTACTTTGGCTTTCTTTTTTTTTACCAACTGAGCTTGAACTGACTCATTGTGTTGTTTATCTCTTCTCCCATTCCTTGCATCCAATAAACAGAAAATGAAAATTGAGTTGGATCAAGTGAAACAACAGCTTATGGTAAGTGAACAACAATGTTTTTGTTAAGCACACAGTCAGAACTGTCCAAACCAATTACTATTAGTCTTTCCAACCTTAGATAGAACAGGTTTCTTAGACATTGGATCTACTAATATATTGTATATACATATAATATTTATAATATTATAATGTAACACAATATAATAATACAATATTATAAGACCTCACTACCTCTGAGGATGCTTGCCATAGATGCAGGCGAAACGTCAGGAGAGAATGCCTCTAGACCATGGCCATACAGCCCGAAAAAACCTACAACAACCCAGTGATTCCAGCCATGAAAGCCTTCGACAATACATTATATATTTTATTTTACATGTAATATTACTAATAATATTACAATATAATAGTGTAGTACAATACAGTAATATATAATACTGATATTGTACTATGCTAATAATTTAATATATTGTATGTATATATATATCTTGTAAACCGCTCTGAATCCCCTTCGGGGTGAGGAGAGCGGCATATAAATATCGTAAATAAATAAAATAAATAATACTGTACTCTGAGGGCTGCATTTTTTGAGTTGCGGCATGCAGGAGGGTCTCTCTGTTGTCATTCCCATAAAATGGAATTATTTCCCAATTGGACATGAGGTAGCCACCAGTACTACTGAACATTTCTGCCAATTTTTTGATCCAGACAGTTTCCTGTTAATTTCTCAATTATTAACTTTTGTCATTTGTTCCATGATGATAGATTACACTGTAAAGCTACTGTTTACTGTACAGTACAACCCCATATCCACATTTTTGTGTGGATACACAATACTGCAGGAAATAGTGAACTGGGCTTTAGGGCCAGGCTTAAACACAACTGGTTAGTCACCAGCAGCAACAGATCACATCAGTTAAAAGGTTGGAAGTGCGAAGCCTGGGTTGCGATAAGCACCCAACCTTCAGCCCAGCTTACTGTCCACCTAAGCAATCTGAAAACAGCTATGAGTAGAGAAACTAGACACCACTTAAGCGAGGAGGTATTTTAAGGCATCATAAAAAGGAAGTACCAGAAAATGCCAACCATCAAAGGAAGTCTGTGTTCAAGGACTCTTCGTCATAGACGATGGAGCAACAGCACCCCCTATGGCCAGAATCAAGCATAACCTCCAGGATGCTGAAGTTGGGAAAAATGCCAACATATATCTTTATCTGTTGTCTGTCCTATTTGTTTAATGACATTGAATGTTTGCTGTATATGTGTTCTGTAATCCATCCTGAGTTCCCTTTGGGGTGAAAAGGGCGGAATATAAATGCTGTAAATAAATAAATAACTCAACTGAATGAACTTGTGGGGGACATTGGAAATGCCTAGACAAGTCATCTCTCTAAACATTGTTAGATCCTCGAGCATGACTGTATGGGTCACCTTCTGGCAGAAACATATCGTAGAATTGGCTAGAGAAGAACCTATTTTGATTGACATGGGTAAATTAAACCACAGGTATCCGTTTTATGAAAACAGGGATTGTACTTTATCTCTCTGTAGTTTGGGCTGCTTTGGGATTTCTAGGAATGAAAAGTTGTTCATATTCTCTTTAAGGTCATGATCAAGGAGCTAGAAAATATATATTATATCCCTTTACACAGCCTTTCCTAGCCAACTTCCTGGTTTATTTTGCTTCAGCACTGTAATAAATAAGTCAGTCACCTCTGAGGATGCTTGCCATAGATGCAGGCGAAACGTCAGGAGAGAATGCCTCTAGAATATGGCCATATGGCCCGAAAAAACCTACAACAACTCAGTCACTGTTGTTAACCAAATGTCTGAATTTGACTCTTCTCACCAGACTGCTTATGACTGACTGATCTTGTTTTACCTATGATGTTTGGTACTTATAATTAGGTCCTTTTTGTAGTTGGAAAATAATATTTCAGCCCTAAAACCAGGTTGTGAACCACTCTTGGAAAGCCATGTAGCTGCCACAGATACGAAGGTGATTTTTTAGGTCCCTGCCCACTGTATCTCATGGTAGGCTTGAAGGTAGAGGAACAGAATGAGCCGGTTCTGTGATGATCTGGATGAAGGCGAACAAATTGAAATTGAATCCAGACAAGACAGAGGTACTCCTGGTCAGTCGAAAGGCCGAACAGGGCATAGGGTTACAGCCTGTGTTGGACAGAGTTACACTCCCCCTGAAGACGCAGGCTCGCAGCTTGGGTGTGATCCTGGACTTATCACTGAGCTTGGAACCCCAAGTTTCGGCAGTGACCAGGGGAGCATTTGCACAGTTAAAACTTGTGCACCAGCTGCGCCCGTACCTTGGGAAGTCTGACTTGGCCATGGCGGTCCACGCTCTTGTTACATCCCAAATAGACTACTGCAATGCGCTCTATGTGGGGTTGCCTTTGAAGATTGTTCGAAAGCTTCAAATGGTCCGATGGGTGGCAGCCAGGTTACTAACAGGAGCAGCGCTCAGGGAAAACACTACTCCTCTGCTGCGTCAGCTCCACTGGCTGCCAATTTGCTACCAAGCACAATTCAAAGTGCTGGGTTTAGCCTATAAAGCTCTAAACGATTCCGGCCCATCTTACCTGTCTGAACATATCTCCTCCTATGAAGGAGGAGCTTAAGATCATCTGGGAGGCCCTGCTCTCGATCCTGGCTGCCTCACAAGTGTGATTGGCAGAGACAAAGGACAGGGTCTTCTCAGTGGTGCCCCCCCTGGCTATGGAACTCCCTCCCCAGGGATATTAGATTGGCCCCCTCCCTCCTGACTTTCCGAAAAAAAGTAAACATTTGAGCAAGCTTTTGAGAGGAATAGATAAAACGGAGCTATGAATGATGAACATGGAATGGCCAGACAATGTCACTGGATAACGTTTTTAACAGGTTGACAATGATGATGATATGCTTTAACGGTTTTTATATATTTTTATATTGTAATGTTGATTGTTTTTAATGGCACTTTTATGAATGCCTGACATCGAATTGTGCCAATCTATAACCTGCCTTGAGTTGCTGTATGGATGAGAAAAGCAGGCTATAAATATCGTAAGTAAAGAAATAAATAAAGAGAGATGTCATATGGTCCCAAAAAAAGTCCTTCTTTTTGAAAGAAAGCATGTTTGTGTTTTGAAGAATGAAATCAATCAGATCCGAGCGGAAAACAAGCTGGACATTAACTTGGAGAGAAGCCGGGTGACAGACACGGTAAGCGCTTCTTTGTCGCTCCCCTTCTTCTGCTCCTTTTCCAGTTTTTAATAGTCTTATAGTCCCTTTCCCATTCTGTACTCTTCTTCAGTTCACAGACCAAGAGAGAAAACTCATGGAAGCCACAACGGAGTTCCATAAAAAAGTAAGAGTTTGAGCTGATTGCAGGTACTATGTATGTATGTGTGTGAAATGATGCAAATCTCCCTCAACTGCAAGAATCAATAATTTCCATCATTTCTCATATGAGGAAAAATATTTCTATAGGGTCATCCCATGCCAAGTGGTCTAAACCTTCCCACCATCATGTCTCCAATTTTGTTTCAATTTTAGCTGTCAAATGTTAAAGTACCGTTTATACTCGAGTATAAGTCAACCCGAATATAAGCCGGGGCACCTAATTTTACCACAAAAAACTGGGGAAATGGATTGACTCGAAAGAAGCCGAGGGTGGAAAATGCAGCAGCTACTGGTAAATTTCAAAATAAAAATAGATACCAATAAAATTACATTAATCGAGGCATCAGCTGGTTAAATGATTTTGAATAATTACATAAAACTGTAATTCAACATAAGACTGTCCAACTCTGATTCAACCATTATTCTAACCTTCTTCAATGTAAATATGCTTACGTATCCTTCCAATAATAATAAATAGAGAAAAATAATAATAATAGTAATAATAACAATAGAGTAAAATAATGGAATGTTATAGTAACAGTAAAAATAGAATAAAATAATAAATGGAATAATAATAATAGAGTAAAATAATAAATGTAATAACAATAATAAAGTAAAACAACAACAATAATAACAACAAAGTAAAATAATAAATGTAATAACAATAATAAAGTAAAACAACAACAATAATAACAACAAAGTAAAATAATAAATAACCTTGACTCGAGTATAAGCCTAAAAAAAGGACTGAAAAACTAGGCTTATACTCGAGTATAAACAGTAAGTTTCCAAAAATTTGAGGTCTCTGACTGCAATGGTTGCTGATCTAGACCCCCTTATCTGAAGGGTAGTCAGTCAGCATGTGCACATTTAAGAAAATGCCATTTTAGGGATCTAATAAAATTGAAACTAAATGTATAAAAATGACTAGTAAATTGAAATCCTGTGCAGCTTTTGCTGCTGATTCCAATGAAATTAATTTTAACACAGTGGGTGCAAAATCCAGTCAAACAAGTTGACTCAAAATATGCATCAAAATGTGTTGTGACAAATTTTGACCAATATCCAGACTGCAACAATTTCCATGCAGATGAAGGTACGGACTCGAAATTTTGACCAAACATTATGTGGTCGCTTCTGGAGTGAAGCAACCACATAAATGCTTGGTCAAAATTTCAAGTCTGTACCTTCATCTGCAGTGTGGAACACATCTCACCACGCTAAAACAGTGGATGTGGCTCTTAATGAGACATGCTGCATTATCACGGGGTGTCTGCGCCCTACACCACTGGAGAAATTACACTGTCTAGCCGGTATTGCACCACCTGACATCCGCCGGGAAGTAGCAGCTGTGCAGAAGTCATTGTTATTATGTTTGTGTTTAACTGTTAGAATATGTATTTGTGTTTGTAACAGTTGCTAAAACTGGAGTCATCTGGTTTGAATCCACAGTGAGCGTTGCCAAGGAGATGAGGCTGGCTAGCTCATGAGAGGGAGAAGTGGGCGGAGCCAAGCAGGAAAAGTTATGTGCGTTTTTAAAAAAGGCCTGAGAGTGAGGCTTGTGTGTGAGCGGCTGGTGTTTTTCAGTCTAGGAGAGGTGAAGAAAGAAACCTGGCCAGATTCTTTAGTCAAAGAAGACTAAAGGAAGCCTAGTTAAGATCCCTAGTTAAGGAAGGACTAGAGATCAGAGATTTGATCGAGGGAAGATCAAATTGAAAGGCTATTTATAGTAGTGAAACATTGTTCACTAGAGAGCTTCACCTCAGTGAAAGTTAGCCACAAGCTGTGTTATCTGGAAGAGTGGACTGTATTATAAACCACGTGATATTCAAAGTTCCATAAGTTATTTAACAGCCTGCAACCATAAGCTTTGTACACAATAAACTTGTTATCTTTTGTTGAAAACCATCTCATCTCAAGTAATCTGCGTCTGTAGAGCCAGATGTCATCGGTGGTACCTCAAATACCTCATGTTGGTGGCCGTTACCTTAATTTACAAATAATAATTGGCCTCCTCCATAATATACTCTTCTACACAATTGAGGCCTGAGGTAAATTCCCTCCATAACATCCACATCTGTACAATTGGTGGCAGCGGTGAGATTAAAAAGTGCCTGAGGTAAAATACCTCCATTATTAGGGCCTGCCATTGCCAACCTCAGCAACACACAAGCACCTCCTCGCAATTGGTGATAGCAATGGGGATCTTCAAAGATAAAATCCCTATACCCTGTCCATCGTTGAGTTCACATCTTCCCAGCAGCCAATAGTGAAAGGACCAAGGCAGTGACATCTCCAGCTCATCCCGTTTGGGTATCAGCCAGCACGTCAACAACTTAAATCAAGAAATAGTTTTCTAAGATCTACAGAGAAACACGCTGGAACACCTCACCAACATTCTCTCCTGAGTTTTGCCTGCATCTATGGCAGGCATCCTCACAACCATTGGCCTGCCATAGATGCAGGTGAAAAGTCAGGAGAATGCTTCTAGAACATGGCCATATAGCCCGAAAACCTACAACAACCCAAAATCAATTTCATCGGAATCAGCAGAAAAAATTTGTACAAGATTTCAATGTACTAGCCATTCTTATACATTTATTTTCAATTTTATTAGACCCCAAAAATGGCATTTTTTTTAAATACCGTGCACACGCCGACTGACTACCCTTCAGGTAAGGGGATCTAGATCAGCAACTATTGTAGTTAGAGACCTCAAATTTTTGGAAACTTAGTTTAACATGTGACTGGCTCTATAGCTAAAATGGAAACAAAATTGGAGACATGACGGTGGGAACTTTTTAAAATTTTAGACCACTTGGCATGGAATGACCCTATTCTAGACTGTTCCTGTATTCACAGATTGCAAAGTCTTTGGGGAAAAATATTTTTTTAAAAATATTTTTATTGAATTTTTTACATAGTAGATTAAAAGAAGAATGGGGAAAGAGGGGGGTAGAGGAGAGGTGGTGGGAGAAGAAATATTATGTGCAGAAATTCATGTGTGTTCTTTATGGGAAAATCACATTGCCATTCATTCCTGTTTTTGTGAGAATAAAGTAGGGAAGATGATAGAAAGTATGGGATTAATGTGCTGAATTGTAAAAGAGTTGCACAGAACAGAGGGAATTCTCTGAACATTATGAATCTCTTTGCAACTCATCCTGCATCCATGTTCTATATTTCTAGGATTCAAGCACCAACAGCTCTGTGTCCGAAGTCAGCAACAAAATAGATACCGAAATTGCTGCCCTGAAAACCCTCATGGAATCAAATAAACTGGACACTATCCGTTATTTGGCAGGTATGTGGCCGGTTCACTAAAATTCGTGTTCCAAGAGAAAAAAATATCCAGAAGGAAGAACATAACATTACTGTATGGAGTTCTGCTGTACAGGATTTGAACCATCCCTTTCCCATTCTCCTCCTTTCTTCCCCGGAGAAATCCCCTGCATTCTCAATGTGATGGTTTATTATCATTGAATTTCCATACAAAAGGGCATGGCTTATTTCTCAATGTGGGAGGACCCATTTTTTCCGACTAGCATTGAATAGTTTTCTGTGTGTAAAGCCTCCTTGAATCCCCCTCGGGGTTGAGAGGGGCGGGATATAAATATGGTAAATAAACAAATAAAGGGTAATGATAAAGGTTTCCCCTTGAAATTAAGTCTAGTCGTGTCTGACACTGAGGGGTAGTGCTCATCTCTGTTTCTAAGCTGAAGAACCAGCTTTGTCCATAGACACTGCCAAGGTCATATGGCCAGCATGACTTATCTTCCCGTAGAAGCGGTACTTATTGATCTACTCACATTTGCATGTTTTCGAACTGCTAGTTTGGCAGAATTTATTTATTTATTTATTTATTTGCAGTATTTATATTCCGCCCTTCTCACCCCGCAAGGGACTCAGGGCGGATTACAATGTACATATACATGGCAAACATTCAGTGCCATAGACACACAACATATATAGACAGACACACAGAGGCTTTCATGAGGGTATTCTGGCCACCAGGGGACTGTCACTTCACCATCCATTAGTGACAGTGATGGAGTACTTCCTCATTCTTTTTTGCACGGTTGCTGGAGATTTTTATGGCATCATAAATTCATTAAATTAGCCTCCCTGCATAAGCGGTACCTAAATTTCCTATTTGACAGATGCAACTGTCTTTCGGGCTGCAAAGGTTGACAGTAAGGTACACAGTCATCAGAAGCTCACTCCGATCTGGGCTGGCTTCGAACTCATGACCTTTCAGTTAGTAGTGATCTTAATGCAGCTGACTCCCAGCAAGCTGCGCCACAGTCCTGGTGCAAGCTGGGGCTAACAGCAGGAGCTCACCCCACTCCCCAAATTCGAACCACCAACCTTTCGGTCAGCAAGTTCAGCAGCTTAGTGGTTTAACCCGCTGCGCCACCGGGGGCCAATACAGTAGAATCTTGCTTATCCAACCTTCACTCATCCAATGTTATGTATTATCCAATGCAGACTGCATCCCACCCAGAATAATGTCCAGGGTGGAGGCTTTTAAATAGAGGCTGGATGGCCATCTGTCGGGGATGTTTTGAATGAAATTTCCTGCTTCTTTGCAGGGGGTTGGACTGCATGGCCCATGAGGTCTCTTCCAATTCTATGATTCTATATGGGAGAAAGAAAGAAACCATGTCTATTTTGGTGCTAAATTCGTAAATACATAACATTATTGCATATTGAATTGTTGATTTGTTGTAGAACAGGATCTTTTGGTGCTTAATTTGTAAAATCATAACGTCATTTGACGTTTAATAGGCTTTCAATTAATCCCTCCTTATTATCCAACATTTTTGCTTATCCAACATTCTGTCGGCCTGTTTATGTTGGATAACTGAGACTCTACTGTAAATAAATAAATACATACATTTCAATGGTAAATTTTGCTTTGAGATAAGATTTTTTTGAGTGAAGAGCTCAGTTATGGAATTAATTAAAATCTTAAGTCGAGGTATTACTGTATTCTTTTGTTTTAACTTGCAGCCTCGGTTTTCACGTGCCTTGCCATTGCTCTGGGGTTTTATCGATTCTGGAAATGAAGAGACAGCCTAAAAGGAAGAAGGACCAAACCAGACAGACTGCTGAATTCAAACTGTTTTGGATAATGCCTTCAAGCAGATTCTTCCAGAGCCTTTCTGTCGGTCTTGATCTTGAACCTAGAGCAGGTGGATGTTATCAGTGGACATTTTGGTCTCATGTGCGCTGGAGGCCAACATATCTACGGACCATTTGGAAAGGAAATAATTTAGCCATTGGGAAAGAAACGAAGAAACAACTAGAATGCTGTGGCCATCCTCATCATTGTGTAAACACATCTAGTTTGATCCAACTTTTGTCCACTTCCATCATTTTCCTCCGTGCCACATGTTTCTAGTTTGATCCCCAACTCTTCATTGATTGAAACTATTCAGCGGTGAGAGTGGCTGATGACCTTGGAGAAAATGTGGTTTCTCTTCCCAAAGTGAATTTGACGTTCTCGCTGTATGGATGGAAACCCCCAAATGGATTATGTTCTGTAGAAATTCTTTTGAAAGTGTCACATAATAATGTATTTTAAAAATTTCTATAAAGCACATAAAGGTGCCTTAAACCATTGATTACTGGGAATTGTTTGTGTGCAGAGTTATCTCTTATTTACAAGATAGTTTTTGAGTGAAAGTTCTAATGTACAGAAAAGTAAACTAAGAATGTGTAAACCATTGACTGTTTGGGTTACTGTGAGCGCTCCGGGCTGTATGGCCATGTTCCAGAAGCATTCTCTCCTGACATTTCCCCCACATCTATGGCAGGCATTCTCATAAGTTGTGAGGTTTGTTGGAAACTAGGCAAGTGAGGTTTATATGTTTGTGGAATGTCCAGGGTGGGAGAAAAAACTTTTGTCTGTTGGAGGGAAGTGTGACTGTTGCAATTGGCCACCTTGATTAGCATTGAATAGCCTTGCAGTTTCAAGGCTTGGCTGCTTCCTGCTTGGGGAATCCTTTGTTGGGAGGCGATTAGCTGATGGATTCTTCTCTGGAATTCCCCTGCTTTTTGAGTGTTGCCCTTTATTTATTGTCCTGATTTTGGAGGGTTTTTTAATACTAGTAGCCAGATTTTGTTCACTTTCATGGTTTCCTCCTTTCTGTTGAAAATGTCCACATACTTGTGAATTTCAGTGGCTTCTCTATGTAGTCTGACATGGTGATTGTCAGCGTAGTCCAGCATTTCTGTAATCTCAAATAATATGCTGTGCTCACGTTGGTTCATCAGGTGCTCTGCTTTGGCTGACCAAGTTATTCACACTTGCCTCAAGCAGACAAGAATTCTTTCTCCCATTCTGGACATTATTCCACAGATATATAAACCTCACTTGCCTAGTTTCCAACACACCTCACAACCTCTGAGGATGCTTGCCATAGATGTGGGTGAAATGTCAGGAGAGAATGCTTCTGGAACATGGCCAGACAGCCTGGAAAACTCACAGCAACCCAGTAATTCCAGCCATGAAAGCATTCGACAACACTTTGACTGTTTTATGCCCACATATCAGGACAGAAAGCTATGGAGTTTTCACCCTGCTGTGGGAGAAAACCAATAGTCCTCCACTATTTCCTGCAGAATAATCCCTGCAGAGGGATTATTCTGCAGGGAAAAAACAACATTTTTTTCCTGCAATAAACCATTTCTGCTTAGAAAAGTTTCCTGTGCAAAAGACTCTATACAGTATGTTCTCGCCATACAATAATTGTACAACAATTCAAGGCATTCAATATCAGGAAAAAACCTAAACTTTTTCCCTGGTCTCTTATTTTTCTCAACAGGATTTCTTGGCTGTCAGGAAACTGTTTTTGACCTGGGAATGAATCATTATGAATCTTTTTTCCTTCCCTCTTTTCCTAATGCCTTCTACCTTGAGAAGATTATAGTCTTGGCAAGGGAGAAGCTGTATCTTCTCATGCTGTGTCCAAAGTATAACAGTCTTGGTTCAATCATCTTGGCTTCTAGAGGGAGTCCAGGCTTGATTTATCCTATTATGCACTTATTTATCTTTTTTTTTACACCGAAGTACAAACTCTGTGCCTAAAATATTGCAAACTACGAATGCATTTAAACAACAACCCAATGCATTTAAAATTTGCAAAGCTGAGGTTCTGCTGCCCCCAGAAGTCTCTGGTTGGAATTATCTCCTAGTTTAGATTTTGAATTATTGCCATTCTAACCTCTGTAGATATCTGAATGATATCTGAATATTTAGCAGCCACAGATTTAGTTCATGGTTTCCTCCTTTCTGTTGAAATTGTCCACATGCTTGTGGATTTCAGTGGCTTCTCTGAAGCAATTTCAACAGAAAGGAGGAAACCATGAAAATGAACGAAATCTGGCTGCTAGTATTTTAACATTTCTAAAATCAGGAAAGTAAATATAGAGCAACACTAAAACAATGAGGGAATTCCAGACAGGAAACAATCAGGGCCAACTAACATTACCTAACAAAAGATTTCCCCCAGGCAGGAAGCAGCCAGACTTTGAAACTGCAAGGCTATTCAGTGTTAATAAAGGTGGCCAATTACAACATTCACACGCCTCCAACGGATATGAGTTCTTTCTCCCATCCGGGACATTTCACAGATACATAAACCTCAGTTGCCTCATTTCTAACAGACCTCACAACCTCTGAGGTTGCTTGCCACAGGTGCAGGCAAAACGTCAGGAGAGAATGCTTCTAGAACATGGTGAGACAGCCCAGAAAACTCACAGCAACCCAATGATTTCAGCCATGAAAGCCTTCGACAACACATAGATGTGACATTAATTGTGTGGATGCAATGAACATGCAGCGGCTTCATGTGATTGAATGGAAAGTGAAGTGGAGAAATGGAATTTATTCTGATTATTTCCCCCTTTTCACAACATTTTTAATATATATATTTATTCAAATAAATAAATCCAACTTACAAGAAAGAAAAACAAAACCTAAAAAAAAACCCCAACAACAGCAAACTATAGTGGTTGCTCAGCAAATGGGGGATATTGGAATACACTTTTTAAGTATTCAGAATGCAGGGGAAATAAAGAACTTTCTGAAATACCAAACAATATATTAAGGGTGGGCAACTAGTTCCCCAGCGGACCTTGCCAAGCCAATCCCACCAATCCCACCTGCCATTTTATATAAATAACCCCCCAAATACTGTCTAAAATATCAGCCTAACTTCCCTTGATAATTGTCACTGTTGAGGCAACAAAATATTGAGAAGATCTTGTGTCTTCTTTCTTTAGAATCTTCTCACAAACACGCCACCAGGGCTGAAAAGAGGCTTTTTCTTCTGTTTCTTTTTCTCTTTCCCAGGATCAAAAGTCACTTTGACAGAAATAGGGGCTAGTTTTCCAGAATTAGAATTCAAAGTTTCCTGGAGGAGAAAAAAAGCCAAAAATGTTAATTGATTAGCATACTAACTGGGAGGAGAAAGGACAGAAGCAGTATATGGCAAAAGCTTCAGAAGCCAATGGTCTTCCAGGTGATTTGGGTTACTTGCTAGACCCAGTATTTATTTATTTATTTATTTATTTACGGCATTTATATGCCACCCTTCTCACCCCGAAAGGGACTCAGAGTGGCTTACAATATACACACACACACACACACACATATATATATATATACACACACACACACACACATACATATACATACACACACACACACAATATATTATATTATTATTAGCATAGTGCAATATCAGTTTTATATATTACTATATTGCACCATACCATTATATTGTAATATTATTATTAATATTACATGGAATATAAAATATATAATTATATCATTATTATTAGTAGTAGTATTATATTGTATTACATTATAATATTATAAATATTATATGTATATACAATATATTATATTACATTTATATTTAGGGAAGGAATAGTCACTTGCTCCTCTAGTTTTAGCTGTTATTAAACATCCCTGCTGGGGAAAATGGAAGGAAAAAGGAAGAGGGGCCAACCAAAGGCAAGATGGATGGATGGCATCCTTGAAGTGACTGGATTGATCTTGAAGGAGCTGGGGGTGGTGATGGCTGACAGGGAGCTCTGGCGTGGGCTGGTCCATGAAGTCACGAAGAGTCGGAAACGACTGAACAAATGAACAACAACAACAAACATCCCTTTATCTAAACATCTTAAAATGGCATCCAGTGAAAGCTATCTATCTATCTATCTATCTTGGCTCTTAATGAAACATTCCACATTATCACAGGATGTCTAAGCCCTACACCATAAGAGAAATTATACTGTTTAGCTGGCATTGCACAACCTGATATCCACCGGGAAGTAGCAACCAGTAAAGAAAGGACCAAAGCATTGACATCTCCAGCCCATCCTCTGTTTGGATATCTGCCATTTAAGTCAATGACTTAAATCAAGAAACAGCTTCCTAAGATCTACAGAGATACACACAGGAACACCTCAGCAAGCAAGAGTCCAAAAGTGGCAGGCTAAAACCTAAAAAACATTAATCAGTAGATGGGAGTGGATGAGAGACTCCGTTCTGGGCACACAGAAGACTGGGCAACTTGGAAGGCACTGAACAAAGTGTTCTCTGGCACCACGAGATGCAGAGCCAATCTTGTTGTGGACTCTACACAGTAGAGTCCACAACATGCGAGTATGGARAAGAGCAAACCACAGACCACCAATGAGGCCTGAGGCCTGCCACATGCACAATGGAGGGCCTTCTTATAGCAACACCAAAGGCACTCCCAAGTGGCTAGCTTCTGCTCAAAGGAAATTTAGTATGATGCCAAGTTTTTAACTTYGTTGTGATTTTTTATACATTATAACTGTAGTCCCAATTTGCTTCTGAAACAATAAATAAATAAATAGTCCACAGATATAGAGATTGTACTGTTTCACTTTTYATCCCTGTCACCAGTAATAACAATAAGATTTTTGTATTGTCGAAGGCTTTCATGGCCGGAATCACTGGGTTGTTGTAGGTTTTTGGCCATGGTCTAGAGGCATTCTCTCCTGACATTTCGCCTGCATCTATGGTAAGCATCCTCAGAGGTAGTGAGGTCTAGATGCAGACGAAACATCAGGAGAGAATGCCTCTAGACCATGGCCATATAGCCCGAAAAAATCTACAACAAGATTTTTGTTGATGTATTTACTTGTGTGCTATTTGTTTCCTGTACAGGAATCAAATAGTACACATTTTTTGTCCTGGGTTATACTTGTGATTTTATAATTGGTTCTATCATAAAAACATGGGAAAAGTTTATTAAACTGAAAACTTAGTTTGTGTGGAAGATCCTGCAGCACATTTTGCTACAGTTTTTCAGTGAACATCTCATAGAGTCTCAACCAACTCAACCTAGTTTGTGGCAGACACAAACACAAAGTTTCGGGAGTATAACAACTACTGTCACAGTAAGTACTGCACAATTAAACAGGAAATAACCCTTTCAAACCATGAACAGACCATTTGAAACACTCATACTTAACTTATGCCTTTTTTTAAAAGTAATTTTCCAAACGGATATTGACTATGGACCTCATTGCGGCAGGAAAGTGAAGCGAATGGTTGTACCCTGTTCCATCTCATCTTTTCCCATCTTCTGGGATGGCTTATCTTGTATCCTTTCTATGTCAATGCCCGTCTTTCTCCCTGCTTTCTATCATTCAGAGTCAGGTAACACTTCTAGGCTTCTAGACTCTGTTTCCATGCACTGCAGAAACGTAGCTCCACAGAGTCCCGCCAGAAGTGCCCTTAATATTATGTGATGGCCTCCATGAAGTGCATGGAAACGGAGCCTAGAAACCGTGAGATGAAGTCCTTGGTGTCAGTTTTCTAAAGGAGTGCTGAAAAGGGTATAGGACACTCACTGCAGGGATGATGGCTGTGTCAAGTTGGGTTTTCTCAAGTTGCTCCTGAAGTGCTTTTATCTCTTCCCGGTACTCGTCCACCTCGGCCTCCAACTTCTCCCGCCGCAGCCGTTCATATTCTAGCTGGGCCTCCAGCTCCGCGCACAACCTGCCCAAAACCAAGCTAAGGTTGAGAAGATAATACTCCCTGTGTTGCCGTGCCCCGCCTGCTCTGTTTAATACCACAGGCCAACAAACAAGCCAAAGTAAATTTTCCAAAGTAAATTTGAAAATGTTGACTCTCAGCTGGAATTATGTTATGCAAATTACTGTAATCTATATGTTTTTAGAAACTATAACATTTTTTCTGTTGTTCTTGATCATGTAATAAATGGAATATTTATATTCTACTAGCTGCACCCACCATGTGTTGCTATGGCCAACGTTCCCTCCTTCTTTTCTCTCCTTGTTTCTTTCTCTCCTTCCTTCCTTCACACTTTCCTTCCTTTCCTTTTTTTTTCCTTCTCTCCTTCCTTCCTTCTCTACCGCTTTCCTTCCTTCACCACCATTTTCTTTCCCTTTTCCTTTCTTTTCTTTATTCCTTCTCTACCTATTCTTGGATTGCAACTTCCAGCAGTCATCCTGATGGATCTATCTATATACTTATCTATCTCTATCTAATCTATCTTATCTATCTGGAGGATTGCTGAGAGTTGCAATCCAGGAATAGGAACTTGGAAATATGCATGGATTGGGATGCTCTCAAAGAAATCCAAGAAGAAGAAGGCTTACAACTTGGAAGCAGTGCATTTGGAGCATCCTCCTCCCCTAAAGGGCCTGGTCTAGGGGATGGTGGGAGCTATAGTCTGGAAGAGAAGGGAGCATCTTTGTAGTCTCTAGGCTCTGTTGTGCTGAGAAATGGTTGGAGGAAGTGAAATCAGAATATATTGTTGCTTTGGGAATGTTTCAGGAAGAAATCCTGCTCACTGTGGATCAATGGACCACCTTTCCCTCTCCCTCTCAAGTGGCCCCCTTCTTGGCTGCTGTTTCCTTTCTTTCACAAATCTTGATGCCATGGATGGACATGTGTGGCTCTCCAGACTAGACTTCCCGTGGTTCTTCAGCATTGGCTACACTGCCTAGAGTAGCTGGGTGTCAGTATGGCAATCTCTGAAGGGTCACCCATTCACCACCCCTTGTATGCAAATCTTCGGGATTTCATAAACCTTTACTTGATTAGCTGCTTCTCTTCAGTTTTTGTCTGCCTTTCTTCAGGAGTTATTCCACCAAGTTCCTTATAGTTGTTGATAGCTATTTCCAGAAGTCCCTTCAACTCTTCAATCTTTTGGAAGGCTCTTTCTGGAAGAGAAACCATTCCCTGAGTCTTTTGGTCTGCCGGGATCCACCCAAGGCAAATAAACCACAAACATTAGCTGAGATAACCACCAACGTTTCACAGACATATGTGGCTAAGGAACATCAGAAGGCATGGGCAAACTTGGGCCCTCCAGTTGTTTTGGACTTCAACTCCCACAATTCCTAACAACCTACCAGCTGTTAGGAATTGTGAGAATAGACTAACTCCTAAAACTCATTGACCATTAGCCCTTTCTTTCCCTAAAGCGAAGTCATAGCAAAGGTGGTCCTCCAGATACTTTTGGCCTGCAACTCCTATCAGGCCTGGACAGCATAACCAATGGATAGGGATGATGAGAGTTGCAATCCACATATCCAGAGAGTTCCTCAAGCTCCACACTCTTCCTCACAACAAAGAGAGGCCAACAACTTACCACGACTGTGCGTTTTAGTCTGTTGCTTTACATTCAAATCACTTTTACAGTCTGTGCTCCCTTCGACGCCATGGCTTTCAAAGAACCGTGAGTCCTTTACGTCAATTTCCTCATCAGAATCGTTTCCCATCTTGTTTTTTAAATATTCCACAACGGCCAACTGAGCAAACCTGCACAATGGGAGTAATCCATTTAGTCAGTAGAGAATGCAAGCAGAGTTCATGATCCCAAAAGTAATATCCACTCTCCAGTTTAATGCCAGCTCCATCCTTTCTGGGCTTCGAACCACTGGGCAAAACTATGTAACTTAATTTATTAGCTTTTAAAACTCATCCAAATCTTCTTTGGAATAAGGTTTAATGTCTGTTCTATTTTTGTATTGTAATTTTGTGGTATATTACTATAGAGTTGAAAAGTGCTTTATAGATACTTGTAATAAATGAAGAATTATTTCTCTTGAATCTATAGAGCGCAGTTTTAAATTCAAATTGATATTTTGTCAGAGCCAAAGGTCAGCAGGGTTTACCGTAAACCAGAGGGTTCATCTCAGGAGGGCTTTATGAGTGGAAAAGAAAATCCAGTCAAATACTGTAAATGATCACCTCTTGGCAATGTCTTTTGGCGTTTCTCCAGCATCGTTGGCAATATCACAGTCCGCTTCTCTATTGATCAACCATTCCAGGACATGTAAATGGCCTTGTCCAGCAGCTGGCAATAGAAAAAGAAACCACAAAATAAGTGGTTTCCCTCTTAGATCTTAGCACTTAGTACTTAGTGATGCCTTGAAATATAATAACATGATTTTAAAGTTCTTTGTCAGCATGAAGGCCAAGGTTACCTCTAGCATGAATGAGTAGAACAATAGGTCCCTAACTTTTCCCTAGGTCAGAGTGGCTGCATCTGCATCAAGAGAATGTGAAAGAGAGACAGATTCGCTTTTCCCAGCAGCTTTGAGATTAGCAGCGAAGAACCAGGTGTATGAGATATGATGTCATGGGAGGGAATTGAGACTTTTAAGTGGGTTCCAAGTGGACTTCTCTTTGTGAGAACAACATTGCCTTTCAAGTGGAAACAACTTCTATGGCCTTGCTTCAAGTGTTCAAATTTTGGGATTATGGGTCTTGTCCATGTTTGCTTGCTTCTGGGTTTTCATTCTTGTTCATATATTCATGGTTTTTGATCTGGTTTATTCTCTGCTTTGTTCTCAAGTTCTGGATATAATTTTGATCAAGTGTATGGAGTTTGCCTTGTTTCACTGTACTGACTCAAAGAAAAGTTCAAAGTTTTTGAATTCCTGTGATTTGATTCATGATTGTCACCTATACTAAGCAACTTTGGAGTTTCTGGATTGGTCTTTTAGATTTTTCATTGTTTTTTTATTGTGCTTCTTCTTCTCTTTGATATTTCTCTTAATAAACTTTTTTTAGTGGATTCTCTCGTCCCTGTGTGGTGTTTGGGTGAAAAGATGCCCTACGGCTGGCACGCAACATTGTGATAGATAAATAAGCAAAATGAAATGCACAAAAAACAAGAGCAAACAATCCAGAAGCCTAACAACAACATGTCCACTGACCTTTGTGCAACAGAGTAGATCCCTTGTCATCCCTCTCATTAATGTTGATGACTCTATTTTCCAGCAACATTCTTAATGTGTCCACGTCCCCTTTGAAGGCAGCCTCATGACCTGGAAATGTCACATCTATAGAAAGAGGAAAAAAGAAGGAGCTGCAAGAATGACAATGACACCTCCAAGATGAGCTTATATTACATTTGGAAGAGAAAGTATTGAAACGCTTCAAATTAATATAGTAGCTTTGGAATCCTGGGATTTGTAGTGCGGTGAGGCACTACATTTTTTGGCAGAGAAGAGGCTAAAATCCTTGTAAAACTACAACTCCCATGATGCCCTAGCATTGAGCAATGGCAGTTAAAGTGCCACCAAACTGTCACAAACCCTCACTAAGTGTTGCTTACTGATGGAAAAAGATGGAAACATTTCCTTGTGAACTGCTAAACAGATCTTCTTCACTGGCTCTTAAAGAGGACTGGAAAGAAGGTCATTTCCTTAACTAAGTAGCCAATCTTGTATTCTGGTGTGAATCTTTTGGAGTTCTTTTGGTACCAGTAAGTCAAGCTGGCTTGATGACACATAGTAACAAATAAGAACAACAAGGACCGGACTGTGGCACAGCTAGCTGATAGCCAGCTGCATTATATCACTAATGACCGAGACGTCATGAGTTTGAAGCCAGCCCGGGTCAGAGTGAGCTTGCAGCTATTAGTCTAGCTTGCTGTTGAAAGCAGGGAGGCTAATTTAACTAATTTACAACACCGTAAAACCTTCCAGCAGCATGCAGAAGAATGAGGAAGAACTTCATCAAAGGACTCAGATGTCACAAATGGACAGTGAAGCAGTGGCTGGAATCAAGCATCCCCTCATGAAGCCAGAAGCTGGAATGTTAAAATGGGCTCTGTGTCTGTCTATATATGTTGTATATCTAATTGGTATTGAATGTTTGCCATGTATATGTACATTGTAATCCGCCCTGAGTCCCCTGCATGTTGAGAACAGCAGAATATAAATACTGTAAATAAATAAATATATAAATATATAAATAAATGTTTTGGGTTGTTATCACACACTGCTTTGCCTTATACTGGCATTCACCCATGAAAAATACTCACTTTCCTCCCTCTTCAAAGGATCCTCCTCCTTCTGCAAAACATCAATATACTCAACAATACTGCTCTTGTAGAATCGCTCTGCTAGGTCTCGAGGAGTCTCTCCATGGTCATTCCTGGCTTTTAGTGCATGGACCAAAGTGGGCATCTTGCTCACAATGTACTTAAAGCAGTCCAAATGGCCCTCCATGGCTGCCAGATGAACTGTGAAACCAAAGGGGAAAATAATTCAATGTTGTAAAAGTCAAATTGCAAGATACCAGTGTGTAGAGAACTTGAAAATTGGAATAGGTACACTACACAATAACAAAAGAAAGGACAACTGTATGTGGATATAAACTTACGCAGGTCTAAGACACCAAACTCTCCATCATCATTTGTACCCCAAGTTCCCAACCCCCAGGATATTTCCTTTGCCTTACCTGGGAGGTTTCCATTGCTATCCACATCATCTAAAGTGGCTCCCCATCTCACAAGGAGTTGCAGACAGCCCAGCCTGCCATGGAAGGCCGCATTGTGAACAGGCTTCCATTCATTCTTGTCAGAAACATTCGCATCCTGGTTTTTAGGATAAGAAAGAGAAAGTTATTTTGCCCCCAGACTCATTTCTGGATGGTGTTAGACTAAAACTCCAATCATTCAACATAGCAAATGATTAGGATTGTTGGGAGTTGTGGTTTGAGAACACCAGGAGGGTCTCACAATTTGTTCTTACAACAAAATGGCTTTTAAAATGCTGTTTGTTGTTGCTTTTTTGCTTTCAAAAAGGTGGGTTCGTCATGTTTTTGGTGTTGTACTGCTTTCTATTCTTTGTTTTAAAGTCATTTTTTAAAATAAATTTTTATTAGTGAGTTTAGATATCAATACATGGGAAGAGAGGGAATATTCAAAAGAAGACAGCAAAGTTGGAAAAGTATATAAAAAAGGGGGGGGGAAGAAAAAATGATGAAAAAATGTAAAAAAAAATGATTTCCATTCCAGTCTCAGGATCTTCTTATCTATTACTTTGTTATTATATTTACATCTTCTTTGTATCTTTCATTTTTCTGTTTTTTTCATAGTCATAGAAAAGGACCCAATCTGTTCTTTTTAATGATTTCCCGGTATTTTTCTTTAGTAAAAAGGTTAGCTCAGCCATATCTCTTATTTCTCTTATCTTATCCAGCCAATCATCGATAGCAGAGATTTGTTCTTATTTCCAAAATTTTGCAAAAATAATTCTAGCTATTTTAAGCCACTTCAATATTGTGGTATAACACAGGTTTAATTTCCTCTTTTGGGATATTTTAACCACATGTGTTTTGATTCTCATTCTATTTGAGAGGAAAGTGGGCAGCATAAATAAAAGCATAAATAAAAGGATGGGTGGGTTGAATTCCCATCTCTGGATTAGGAAAATCAAGTTGCAATCCTCACTCAGAGAAGAATGCAAAACTTTTATCTTTTATTTCAGCCTTTATTTAAACAACCATCCTATCTTCGGGAATATGTCATGGCAGAAGTGAAAAGCTAATTGCCACTAAGTAGGAGGAAGATAGACGCTTTTGAACTGTGGTGTTGGAGGAAAATTCTGAGAGTGCCTTGGATCACAAGAAGGTCCATATTCCAGGAAAGAAAGCCTGGCTGCTCACAGGATATTAGAGGCAAAGATAAAGTACATTGACCACATAATTTTGTTTCTTCAAGTCAGGAGTGACTTGAGAAACTGCAAGTCTCTTTTGGAGCCCCCAGTGACGCAATGGGTTAGACTTTTGTCCAGCAGGACTGAAGTTCAACAGGTCACAGGTTCGAATCCGGGAAGAGTGTGGATGAGCTCCCTCTGTCAGTGAGAGAAGCCTCCCACAAGGATGGTAAAACATCAAAACATCCAGGCGTCCCCTGAGCAACGTCCTTGCAGATGGCCAATTCTCTCACACCAGTAGCAGCCACATAATGAGAAGACAGGAAAGCTTGGAGAAGAGAATGATGCTGGGGAAAATGGAAGGAAAAAGGAAGAGGAGCCAACCAAGGGCAAGATGGATGGATGGTATCCTTGAAGTGACTGGCTTGACCTTGAAGGAGCTGGGGGTGGTCACGGCCAACTGGGAGCTCTGGAGTGGGCTGATTGATGAGGTCATGAAGACTTGGAAATGGCTGAATGAATAAACAACAAGTAGGAGGATATTTACAGGGATAAAAAGTCAATTTCTTAGCCCTTTCATCCAAAGAAGGACAAAAACCAGGACCTTTTTGGAAAGATTTCAACAACATACAATATGTCACATGTCACAAGCTGCAATGAGATTACAACAGGGTTTTGCTGGTTTTATTCCAAGTTTAAATGAGCTGTTCATAGTGCTAAACCCATTTTTCAGTCAGTACTTTAGACAGCTCCATTAACATTCAAACTAGACTCCATTAAAGATTCAATACTCCACTAATATCCAAGCCAGCATCTTAAGTTATACAACAGAGCTATTGCAACTTCAGGAAAAGGAGAGATCTTATATTCTGTCTCGTGATTGTTCTTGTTATGTAAACCCCAATGTTGTTGTTGTTGTTATTTATTCGTTCAGTCATGGACCAGCCCACACAAGAGCTCCCTGTCGGCCGTCACCACCCCCAGCTCCTTCAGAGTAAAGCCAACAGTTCAAAGGCATCTTCGCTCAACCTTCTTTATAGCCCTGAGTCCCCCCCGGGGTGAGAAGGGCGGGGTATAAGTAAATGAAATAAATAAAATAAAAAAAAATAGTCCAGTTCTCACATTCATAGATTGCTACAGGGAATACCATTGCTTTAACTATGTGGATCTTCGTTGCCAGTGTGGTGTCTCTACTCTTCAGTATTTTATTGAGATTCACTATTTCATTGAGATTGATACAGAAAATTATTCCTCATGATACAATAAATAACTAAATTTCCACAGTAAGTCCAGGAACTGTTCCTCCATGGATAAAGGGTGAAGGTATAATATAGCTTAATCCCATTAGTGAAAAGCTAGTATTAAAAATATAATGGATAAACAAAAATGCATATAAAATCATCAGAGTTCTCAAGAAGATTAAAAAAATTAGAAGATTTTCTTACCACTCCACTCCTTAGTATGGTTTGCAAAGTGTATGACTGCCCATGGGTTGCTGCAAGGTGAGCTGGAGTGCACCCTCGATCGTCCTGGATTCCTAGATTTGCCCCGTTTAGGTGAAGAGCCTGCAAAACAAATACACAGCAAAATTCCTACTTTCCAACTTTGGTCTTGGTAATATACAGAAGCACAGAAAGAAATTATGACTTTGTGCACTGAGTGTGCGCTAAGGCTTCCAGGAATTTCCACCCATACGCATCCATCTGCTCAAGCTAGGAAGAACATTTAGAGCTTGGTTCATTATCACAGACGTCTGCTTGTTTACCTGCATGCAGGCATCCTGGCCTTTGATAGCGGCAAGGTGGGCCGCTGTCCAGCCCCTGACTGTCACCGCGGTTGTGTCAGCTCCATGCCACAGCAGCCAGTGAAGGCACTAGTAAACAAGAACAACATGTTTGGGGTTGTATACTGGCATTCACTAGGTGTAACCACTCAATTAGCATAATGTTTTTGGACTACAAATAAGCAAGAACTAGAACTACATAATCCTCCAGAAGTTACTGGGCTACAAGTCCCAACAGGTTTCGCCACTATAGCATGGGCAAACTTTGGTCCTCCAGGAGTTTTGGACTTTAATTTCCACAATTCCTAATAGCTGGTAGGAGAACTGCCCAAATCCCATAACTGAACTAGAGGAACATGGAGCGGTCCGAAAAGTAATTTTATTCTGAAGCGAATCTTCCATACAAGGTTGTTAACAGGAGCGGCACTCAGGGAGCACACAACTCCTCTGTTGCACCAGTTCCACTGGCTGCCAGTTTGCTACCAGTTTGACACAATTCAAAGTGCTGGCTTTAGCCCTAAACAGTTCTGGCCCAACTTACCTGTTCGAACGGATCTCTTCCTATGAACCAGCTAGGACGTTAAGATTGTCTGGGGAGGCCCTGCTCTCGGTCCCGCCTGCATCACAAGTACGGTTGGTGGGGACGAGAGACAGAGCCTTCTCAGTGGTGGTCCCTCGGCTGTGGAATGCCCTCCCTACAAAAATTAGATTGCCCCCCCTCCCTGCTAGCATTTTGGAGGAAATTGAAGACCTGGTTGTTTGAGCAGGCATTTGAATAGGCAGTGTAACTAATATAAACATATGGAACAATTGTATGACGAGACTGGATCTTGCTTTTAACTATGAGACGATATGAGATGTTGATGCTTATTGATTGTTATAAGTGTTTATACTTTTAAATGTTTCTTACCTGTTCTTATCATGTTTTATGTATTGTGTTGTGGTTGTGAACCGCTCTGAGTCGCCCTGAGGGTTGAGAAGAGCGGTATAAAAATGTAGTAAATAAATAAATAATTTATAGATATCTTGCATGCTCTCCAATATTCCACAAATGAAGTGGAGAATGAAATCCCTCACTCACATAATATGCATGCAACAAAGTAATTCCACTCTGAAGCAACAATGGAGCTGCATATGCACATTGGGTTTGCATTTTTAAATGAACTGATGTAAATTTTATTTATTTATTTTATTTACAGTATTTATATTCCGCCCTTCTCACCCTGCAAGGGACTCAGGGCGGATTATAATGTACATATGCATGGCAAAGATTCAATACCATAGACACACAACATATATAGACAGACACACAGAGGCTATTTAACATTCCGGCTTTTTGATGAGGGTATTTTGGCCACCAGGGGAGCTGTCGCTTCACCATCCATTTGTTACACTGATTAAGTACTTCCTCATTCTTTGCAGGCCTATGAGATCTCTTCCAACTCTATGATTCTATGATTCTATGAAACCTCTCAACCTCTGAAGATGCCTGCCATTGATGTGAGCGAAACGTCAGAAGAGAATGCTTCTGGAACATGGCCATACAGCACGGAAAACTCACAGCAACCCAGTGATTCCATTCATAAAAGCCGTCGACAACACATAGGATAGGATACGTTTCCCACCTCTCAAGTTTGATCTTCAGCCCATCCCTTACCTCCAGGCTTCCAGAATGGGCTGCCCAGTGTAAAGGTGTGAACTTGTGGATTGGGTCCACCTCATTAAGGCTGGTTCCACGTTTCACCATCTCCGCAAGCTGTTTTACATTCCCAGTTTTGACTGCTTCATGTATGCTTTTGCGCACAGGCTTCTTCTTTGGAACTGCTTGGAAACAGCAATGCGTTTAAGAGCATTGGAAAACAGGGACGCAATTGGAACTAAGGCAGCCTTGGGGCAAAGAACTCTTTGGGCAATGATGTATTCAATAGACCAGTAATTCTGCTCTGCTTTTTAGTCTGAACTGTAAAGGAGGTATCCAAAACAATGTGTCCTATTCTATAATACTATAGGTATACAAAACAGGTATAAAATTAAATATTTACTGATGACAAATCAGCATTTGCAAGGCTCGCTAAACAGGCTGATTTCCATTTTTATGAAGTACAGCTGGAGCATCTTCTTTAGAGTCCATTGTAAATGCTGTTCAACACATTTGTGTAAATAACCTCTGAGGATGCTTGCCATAGATGCAGGCGAAACGTCAGGAGAGAATGCCTCTAGAACAGTGGTTCTCAACCTGGGATCCCCAGATGTTTTTGGCCTACAACTCCCAGGAATACCAGCCAGTTTACCAGCTGTTAGGACTTCTGGGAGTTGAAGGCAAAAAACATCTGGGGACCCCAGGTTGAGAACCACTGCACTAGAACATGGGCATATAGTCTGAAAATACCTACAACCCAGTGATTCCAGCCATGAAAGCCTTTGACGATACATTTGTGAAAATATCTAAAACAGCCACTAGGTGGCATTCAAAAAATAATAGTGTGGCCCCAACATTGAGCTAAGGCAACATTTCTCAACCTGGGGGTCAAGGCCCTGGGTGGGGTCACGAGAGGGTGTCAGAGGCGTCACCAAAGACCATCAGAAAACACAGCATTTTTCTGTTCGTCATGGGGGTTCTGTGTGCAAAGTTTGGCCCAATTCTCTCATTGGTGGGGTTCAGAATGCTCTTTGATTGTAGGTGAACTCTAAATCCCAGAAACTACAACTCCCAAATGGCAATATCTCTCTCAAACTCCACCAGTGTCCACATTTGGCCATATTGAGTGCCAAGTTTGGTCCAGATCTATAACTGTTTGAGTCCACAGTGCTGTCTGGATATAGGTGAACTACAACTCCAAAACTCAAGTTCAGTGCCCACCAAACCCTTTTAGTATTTTCTGTTGGTCATGGGAGTTCTGTGTGCCAAGTTTGGTTCAATTCCATCATTGGTGGAGTTCAGAATGCTCTTTGATTGTAGGTGAACTATAAATCCCAGAAACTACAACTCCCAAATGTCAAGGTCTATTTTCCCCAAACTCCATCAGTGTTCACATTTGGGCATATTGAGTATTTGTGCCAAGTTTGGTCCAGATCCATCATTGTTTGAGTCCACAGTGCTCTCTGGATGTAGGTGAACTACAACTCCAAAATCAAGGTCAATGCCCACCAAACCCTTCCAGTATTTTCTCTTGGTCATGGGAGTTCTGTGTGCCTAGACTGCTTCAATTCCATCATTGGTGGAGTTCAGAATGCTCCTTGATTGTAGGTGAACTATAAATCCCAGAAACTACAACTCCCAAATGTCAAGGTCTATTTTCCCCAAACTCTACCAGTGTTAACATTTGGATATATTGAGTATTCGTGCCAAGTTTGGTCCAGATCCATCATTGCTTGAGTCCACAGTGCTCGCTGGATGTAGGTGAACTACAACTCCAAAACTCAAGGTCAATGCCCACCAAACCCTTCCAGTATTTTCTGTTGGTCATGGGAGGTCTGTGTACCTAGATTGCTTCCATTCCATTGTTGGTAGAGTTCAGAATGCTCTTTGATTGTAGGTGAACTATAAATCCCAGAAACTACAACTCCTAATAGTCTATTTCCCTCAAACTCCATCAGTGTTCACATTTGGCCATATTGAGTGCCAAGTTTGGTCCAGATCCATCATTGTTTGAGTCCACAGTGCTCTCTGAATGTAGGTGAACTACAACTCCAAAATTCAAGGTCAATGCCCACCAAACCCTTCCAGTATTTTCTGTTGGTCATGGGAGTTCTGTGTGCCAGACTGCTTCAATTCCATCGTTGATGGAGTTCAGAATGCTCCTTGATTGTAGGTGAACTATAAATCCCAGAAACTTCAACTCCTAATAGTCTGTTTCCCTCAAACTCAGCCAGTGTTCACATTTGGCCATATTGAGTGCCAAGTTTGGTCCAGATCTATAATTGTTTGAGTCCACAGTGCTGTCTGGATGTAGGCGAACTACAACTCCGAAACTCAAGGTCAATGCCCACCAAACGCTTCAAGTATTTTCTGTTGTTCTGTGCGCCAAGTTTGGTCCAATTCCATTGTTGGTGGAGTTCATGATGCTCTTGGATTGCAGATGAACTATAAATCCCAGCAACTACAGCTCCGAAATGATAACATCATTCCCAATTTGGTCCAGTGAAAGAAAATACGGTATCGACAACAACAAAAACAACAACATGGAGAAAACTAAGTGCAGTATCTCTGCTTAAAATAAAAACAACAGCAACAATAACAAACAAAAATGCAAACAACTGAATATACAGTAAATTATTACGTATTGGAGCTGAAATAAAAAATGACTGGGGTTGGTCTCACCATCTGGGGCAACAGACGCCGGCATGGTGCTCCTCGTTCTCACAATGGCAAGCCTCTCGGTTGTTGCTGTGGCGGTTGCCAGGGAGGGTTGTCATGGAAACGCTGTGGACTGTATTCCAGTGTGAGGCTCAGCTAGGCCTCAGTTGGCAAAGAGGGTGAAAGCAAACAGAAGGACCAAGTTTCCAGAACAGCACCAAAAAAAGGGGGAAAAAAGGAAAGCAGAGTGGAAAATTGAGAATTGCTGCCCCTTTTTTTGCTGTTTTGAAAACTTACCTATATTGCACTCTTCTCCATATAAATTCTCTTTTATTCCTCTTCCCTCAAGTCTTGCTTTGAACTTTAATCATATTTTTCAGATAAGACTACAGCCGACATTCTGGAAACTATTGATATACTCGTGCATAAGTCTAGAAATTTCTGATTTTTATTAGGTAAAGGTAAAGGTAGTCCCCTGACATTAAGTCCAGTCATGTCTGACTCTAGGGTGTGGTGCTCATCTCCATTTCTAAGCCGAAGAGCCAGCCTTGTCCGTAGACACCTCCAAGGTCATGTGGCCGGCATGACTGCATGGAGCGCCGTTACCTTCCCGCCAGAGCGGTACCTATTGATCTACTCACATTTGCATGTTTTCGAACTGCTAGGTTGGCAGAAGCTAGGGCTGACAGCGGAAGCTCACACCGCTCCCCGGAATCAAACCTGTGACCTTTCGATCAACAAGCTCAGCAGTTCAGTGCTTTAACCCACTGCGCCACCGGGGGCACCTATTTTTTTATTTTTATTTTTATTAGGATTTTTATTAGGAAGTAAAAAACTAAACCAAAAGGCAAGACAAAACTAAAACTAACTACTAAACCGCTTTGAGAAATATTATTATTATTATTATTATTATTATTATTATTATTATTATTATTACTATTATTGTAAATCGGCAGCAATGATAAGATCTATCAACCGAAAGGTTGCCAGTTTGAAGCACCGAGTCGGCGTGAGCTCCTGACTGTCAGTTCAGCTTACTGTTGACCTTAGTAGTTTGAAAACAGCTTGAGCTGTAAGTAGAAAAATTAGGTACCACTGAAACAAGTGAGGGAGGTAGTTTACGACACCATAAAGGAAAGATGCCCGGCAATCAAAAAGCAAGAGGAAGTCCTGTTGGCGCTTTGTCATAGAGGATGGAGCGACTACACCCCCCGTGGCTGGATTCGAGCACAACCTCCAAGGTGCCAAAAAGCTGGATGTCGACACAACATACCTCTTTTCTGTTCTGTCTTTCTTTTCTATCCATTGAATGTTTGCCATGTATGTGTACTGTGATCCGCCCTGAGTCCCCTTGGGGAGATAGGGCAAGATATAAATAAAGTATTTTTGTTATTATTTATTATAAGTGCTGTCAACAAGCCTTGACCCAACAAAACACCTCACTAAGAAGCCCAACTCTTTGAATCATCAACACTTTAGACAAGAATTTGGACTATCGGTTTTCAGTGACGGAAACAAGGTGCTCCTGAACTGTAATAACATGCAATTATAAGGCACTGCATTCATGAGGAATAGAAAGCAGCTGCTTAAATAAAGAAATGGACTAAGGGTGCATCTACAAAAAGCAAGATAAGGCTAAGGTTGTTTCGTTATCTTCTGGAAAACAGCCACATTTCTAGGCGTGTTTAAAAAAACCCACATACAGCCTGACAACACACAAATGGATTGGGTTGTTGTAGGTTTTTTCGGGCTATATGGCCATGTTCTAAAGGCATTCTCTCCTGACGTTTCGCCTGCATCTATGGCAATGCTTTCCAGAAGATAACATGGCCATATAGCCCGAAAAAACCTACAACAACCCAGTGATTCCGGCCATAAAAGCGACAATACACAAATGAATGATTCGTATATCATCCGGAGAGGATGAGTTCCTCATATCCACATTGAGTAGGTTTTACAAACAGGAGCGCTCTGTGAGAATAGAGAATAGTTTAAGCATCCCCTAAATCAGGCAAGGGCAAACTTTGGCCGTCCAGGTGTTTTGGAATTCAATACCTACAATTTCTAACAGCCCATGTATGCTTTAAATAAAATACCTTAAAAGAGAGACCGTATCTCTCTCCATGAACCATCTCCGTTCTTCTGGGGAGGCCCTTCTTTCGCCCCCGCCAGTCTCCCAGATTCACTTGGTGAGTACAAGGGAGAGAGCCTTTTCCTCTGTGGCTCCCCAACTCTGGAACTCACTCCCTGGAGAGATTAGGAAAGCCCCTATCCTAGAAACCTTTAAAAAGAACCTCAAAACCTGGCTCTTCCGTTGCACGTTTGATGAGTAGATCTACATCCTCATACTAGTGTTAGTTTAACGGTTTTTGTTATTGGAGCGCATACCTCCCCATAGGAAAGGTTTGCTCCACGACCTCCACTAAAACGAGCTTTCCTCCACAAATCTGTCCTTGTTTATCTCGTGTTTATCTCACCTGAGTTTTTAATCTGTTTCTACCCAATTTTCTTTTATCCATTACATGTAGCTCACCCATGTTACCGTGATTGTGTTTATTGTAATTTTATATTGCTATGTTGTCTTTTGTTTTATGTAATTGCATTATTATTGTCTGTTATTTGCGTTTTCAGTTTTGTTTTATTTCATGTAATTGTTGTTTTGGGCTTTGCCTCATGTAAGCTGCACCGAGTCCCCACTGGGGAGATGGAGCGGGGTACAAATAGAGTTTATTATTATTATTATTATTATTATTATTATTATTATTATTATTATTATTATTTATTAAATAATAGGAACCCAGATCCAATTTCACTCTTTTCTTCCAGTGGCTGCTTCCAAGTGTTGTTGTTTTATTTAAATCCTGCTGCAAATCCATGTCTTTTACCTTAAATCGGTGGTTCTCAACCTGTGGGTCCCCAAATGCTTTGGCTTTCAACTCCCAGAAATCCTAACAGCTGGTCAACAACTGGCTGCCGGTCCATTTTCGAGCACAATTCAAAGTGCTGGTCTTGATCTATAAAGCCCTATACCAGTGAGTCTGGACAGCTCCCTATTGAGGAAGCTCTAGCTCAGTGGTTCTCAATCTTCTTAATGCCGCGACCCCTTAATACAGTTCCTCATGTTGTGGTGACCCCCAACCATAAAACTACTTTAGTTGCTACAACATAACTGTAATGTTGCTACTGTTATGAATCATAATGTAAATATCTGATATGCAGGATGCATTTTCATTCAGTGGACCAAACTGGGCACAAATACTCAATGCGCCCAATTCTGAATACTGGTGGGGTTGGGCGGGGGGAGGGGGATTGATTTGGGAGTTGTAGTTGCTGGGATTTATAGTTCACCTACAATCAAAGAGCATCCTGAACTCCATCAATGATGGAATTGAACCAAATTTGGCACACAGAACTCCCATGACCAACAGAAAATACTGGAAGGATTTGGTGGGCATTGACTTTGAGTCTGGGAGTTGTAGTTCACCTACATCCAGAGATCACTGTGGACCCAAACAATGGTGGACCTGGACCAAACTTGTGGAGTTTGGGGAAAATAGACCTTGACCTTTGGGAGTTGTAGTTACTGGGATTTATAGTTCACATACAATCAGAGTATTTTGAACTCCACCAAAAATATAATTGGACCAAACTTGGCACACAGAACACCCATGGCCAACAGAAAATACTGTGTTTTCTCATTGTCCTTGGCGACCCCTCTGACACCCCCTTGCGACCCCCCCCCAGGGGTCCCGACTCCCAGGTTGAGAAACGCTGCCCTATACGGTTCCAGTCGTTTACTTGTCCGAACATGATCCACCTCGGAGTTTACGATCGTCAGGGGAGGACCTGCTCTCAACCCCGCCACCCTTGCAAGTGCGATTGGCAGGGACGAGACAAGGCCTTCTCGGTGGTGGCCCTCAGTCTATGGAACACACTCCCCAGTTAAATCAGGGTGACTTCAATTCTTCTCTCCTTTAGAAAAAAGCTTAAATCTTGGCTTTGGGACCAAGCATTCGGGCAGCAGACCAACTAGCAACTGCAATGACTTATGAGAACTGTCAATTAATAGAACTTGGACTGGAACTCTGAATTACGATTTGGATTTGGGGACTTAGGCTTAGTTGTTTTTTAATACACAATAGTCAATATTTCAACATATTTTTATAATCTTGTTGGTTTACTTAATGTTTTTTGTACTGCGATTGTTTTGTTCGTTGGCATCTAATGATTGCCAGCCCTGAGTCCCCATTCAGGGGTTGAGAAGGATTGGATATAAACGTTCAAATAAATAAACCACTGCTCTAAAAGATATCTCCATCTATTTCCTTGATGAGGACTATAAACTTGTGCAGGATGTGACTGAATTACATTCTGTATTATGTCGTCGAAGGTTTTCATGGCCGGAATCACCAAGTTGCTGTGAGTTTTCCGGGCTGTATGGCCATGTTCCAGAAGCATTTTCTCCTGACATTTCCCCCACATCTACAGCAGGCATCCTTAGAGGTTATGAGGTCTGTTGGAAACTAGACAAGTGGAGTTTATATATCTGTGGAATGTCCAGGGTGCGAGAAAGAACTCTCATCTGTTTGAGGCAAGTGTGAATGTTGAAATTAGCCAGCTTGATTAGCATTGAATAGCTATGCAGCATTAAAGCCTGGGGGGATCCTTTCTTGGTAGGTGTTAGCCGGCCCTGATTGTTTCCTGTCTTTACTTTCAAGCTGTTTCTGACTCATGCTTTGGCCTTCAACTTCCAGAAATCCTAACAGGTGGTAAACTTGTCGATATGGAAGCATGTCCAGGGAGCTTGGGACACAAAACCACACACACACATTCAAGCTCTATTAGGCGAAACCTCAATATCCCCACTCCCGCCCAAAACATCCCATGAAATAACGAAAATGAGACTGGAATATGCTTCACTCTAGTTTATTACACGAAATAAATATTAACATCTCTCCATAATGTCTTTACTCTCTAGACCCAAATTAGAAATCAACAAAAATGTTAACCATATTGCAACTGAGCAATCTTACATTACTTTTTTCTCACTATAAAATGGAAAGAAAAATTGGTTTGGCTGTACTAAATGTTTGTGTTGACTAAATGAAAGAAGAAAATCTCATGAAAATCTGGATATCCTCCTATAACTGCTGAATTGTTGGCACTTATCTTTAATCAAGCATGTTATTTTGTGTGTAACCCTCCTAAGTCTTCTTTTTAAGTGTCTAGGTGTTGTAAATGTTAAGCGCTAATATTCTCCTGAAACTTAAAAAAATGTTAAGCCTGCCATTTCTTCTGGAAATCTTATTTTAAACAAGGCCAGTGAAGAAGCCTGAATCCATTCCAATTTAAAACACTCCCGAAACAGAAATACTTTTTTTATTGAATGGTGTGCATAAACATTACACTCCATAGATAGCAAAAATATCTTTTATTTATAATTTACAATTCCACAAATGAAAAAAAATTGTACAAGTTTTCTTACATATACAGTCTATTCCTGTTCAATTTGTACGCCACTGACAGAACTTCCACACAATAGACACCTGACACTGTGCAGGCAATAAGAAATTCAAATACAAAAATGTATTTATTAACCAAATAAGCAGCTGGGGCCCTGCCCCAGATAAACACTTTATTCATATAAAAATTATTTGCCTTCTAGAGTCAGCTAGGACACAGTAGCTCTTCTCTGCAATATAAAAAAAAACCCCAGAGTTTGTTTAAACTGACTCAACCTTTTCAGGTTCAGTTTTAATTTCGGCAGACATTAAAGGTTTGCTCTCCTCCATGCATTTGTCAGGCTTTTCCTCCTCTGGCTCTTCCTTGACTTTGGGGCCGCTACAGGAGTCCTGTACTTCTTGTTTGACAATATTCAACATAATATTTAGTGGGTTTTCAACGGGCGTCTTGCTAGGTGAAGGAGTTGAGTCAAAGGAGGAAGTCTGGAAGTCAAAATTAACATCACATATACAGTTGTGTTTTTAAACGGAGACAAAATGTTGATCTTGTGATGATTGCTGTCTGCAATAATCCATACAATGCAGGGAAAACATTCTGATTTGACTGAACTCTGAGAAACCAAGCTTTCGTTTATAAAATGGTTTTACTTCTTCAATGTATCACAGACAGTTGTCATTACTTTACTCTCTAGACCCAAATTATTACTTGTCATTACTTTACTCTCTAGACCTAAATACACTTTACTAGAGATCTAGGTCTGTCCGCATGCCCTACCTATTCGCCAAAATACCTATCCATTTTACCCGGACATGCCCAGCTTTTTAACATTTTTAACCATTACATCTAGCCCTGACATTGATTTTAATTGTGTTGTGTTTATTGTTAATGTTTACTGTTTGATTTTTATTTACTGCTGTATTGTTGTTGTCTTTTATTGTTGTATTAGGTCTCAGCCTATTGTAAGCCGCACCGAGTCCTTTGGGAGATGGTAGCGGGGTATAAATAAAGGATTATTATTATTATTATTATTATTATTATTACAAATATAGAGGATTTGAATCCAAGACCTCAAAAGCGAACTGCAAAGGCTCCGGCATAAACCAGTACAGGTGGTCCCAGTGGTATTGGCGTACTGGGTGCCGTGCCAAAAGATCTCAGCCAACATTTGGAAACAATAAACACCAACAAAATCACGATCTGTCAACTGCAAAAGGCCACCTTACTTGGATCTGCACACATCATTCGAAAATACATCACGCAGTCCTAGATGCTTGGGAAGTGTTCGACTTGTGATTTTGTGATAGGAAATCCAGCATAGAAAAGCTCTGTATCTGCTAATCCTAGCACTACAGCAAGCATCATGATGGATTTAAGCTTTTACATTTACAGTCAAGCCTCCACATTTACAAGTTTGATATTTGCAGATCTTACTATTAATGGGATTTTATTAAAGCGGGCCCTTGATACCTCCTGAGGTTTGGCTCAAGACCCTTTATGTAAACCAAAATCTGTTAATACTCAAGTCCCATTATAAGTAATGGCATGATAAAATGGTGCCCCTTACATAAAATCAGAGTTTGCTTTTTGGATTTGTGGCGGGAAGGATATATTTTCAAGCTGTGGGTGGTTGCATCTGTGGATACAATATCCAGAGATATGGAGAGTCAACAGTACAATGTTCCCTCTAGGAATCTAGGTCATCCAATGTGATTCTTGGAAACAATGTATAGATCTCGTTTGCTGTGACATATTGTGCTTTTGTGTCAATAATAATAGTAATTATAGATAATATAATGATATTAAATATTGATGTCGCCATACCAGATGACAGCCGCATTGAGGAAAAACTCAGCTGCTATCAAGACCTCAAAATTGAACTGCAAAGGCTCTGGCATAACCCAGTACAGGTAGTCCCAGTGGTCACTGGCACACTGGGTGCCATGCCAAAAGATCACAGCCGGCATTTGGAAACAATAAACAATTGACAAAATCACGATCTGTCAACTGCAAAAGACCAACTTACTTACTTTTGCATGATTCGAAAACACATCACGCAGTCCTAGTGTTTGACTTGTGATTTTTTGATACGAAATCCAGCATATAAATCTCGTTTGCTGTGACATACTGTGCTTTTGTGTCAGTAAAAGAATAATAATAATAATAATAATTTAAAGATAGAATTGCAAAGTCTCTGGCCCAAGGCAGTCAAGGTGGTCCCAGTGGTGATCGGCACACTGGGTGAAGTGCTTAAAGACCTTGGCCTGCACTTAAAAATAATTGGCGCTGAGAAAATTACCATCTGGCAGCTGCAAAAAGCCAACCTACTCGGATCTACATGCATTATTCTTCGATACATCACACAGTTCTAGACACTTGGGAAGTGTCCGACGTGTGATCAAATACAAAAGTCAGCATAGTGATACAGGGATTTTCTCTCACTTCCTGTTGTTTGTAAGTCGGATGTTTGTAACTTGGGGAATGCCTTTATATCTCTATCTATATCAGCACTCACTTAAAAAAAAAGATCACCTGAGTAATGTTTTTGCAACAAATATGTCCACATTCAGGAATAAAAATCCACACTGTTTTAATTTGTTCCACAAAGCATATGTAAAATATACATTATTCTTTTAATTTGGAATTTAACTGGACCTGCAGTATGCAAACATCATTTGAGCTGTTAGGTTATGTAAAGCCAAAAGAGATACTGACCTTTTGATAATCCTCATAGCATGAGGGATGGTAGATCTGGAGAGAGAACAAACAAAGTTTTGGCATTCACATATTTTTACAAGTTGACACATTGTAATTGCAATTACTGTTTTTATGAAATGACTGCTTTCACGATAATTTTTGTACAGACTGTGATAGATTTCTTCTGGACCTGCTTAAGTCCAGCACACATTTGCTAAAAATTTCCACTGTGTTTTGGAAGATACTGTTTTGAATCCATGGCATTGTAAATATTTGCCAGACTGATGGGTATCAGCAACAGTGCAAACAGAACAAAGCACTTGTATGGATTATTACTGTTGTTGTGAAGGCGTTTTTGACTTATGGCAACCCTTTCAAAGGGTTTCCTGGGGCTGAGAGAGTGTGACTTGGCCAAAGTGGCTAAGTGGGTTTTCATGGCTAAATGGGGATTTGAGCCCTAGTCTCCCAACAGTAAAATCATTAGCGGCTGCTTAGATAATTTTTTTAAAGCTGTCCTGAACTATAACTGCATTTTTCCTTTGCACTACACAAGCAAATGAGTGTTCGACATTACCTTTTCATCTACACGGATGGCATTTTTTAGGTGCCACTCTTCCTCTTCCTCATCCCAATATTGCTCAAATTGCTCCTGGCATATTTCACAGCTCTGAAAAAAAATGAAAAGCAGTTAAATACACTGGTCAATATAATTCGCTGCATTTATCCTGGAAGAAGCACGGCAACTTTGCTTTCCTTCCACAGCCCACTAGAAAAGCTTGTTCTGGAGCAAAAGAAATTGCTCTGGAGCAGGTTTTCAGCATTAGAAAAGCTCTGTATCTGTTAATCCCTTCACTATGGCGAACATCATGATGGATTTAAGATTTAAGCCTTTACATTTACAGTCAAGCCTCTACATTTACAAGCTTGATATCTGCAGATCTTACTATTCACGGGATTTTATTATAGCGGGCCCTTGATACCTCCTGAGGTTTGGCTCAAGACCTTCCATGTAAAACAAAATCTGTTAATACTCAAGTCCCATTATATGTAATGGCATGGTAAAATGGTGCATCTTACATAAAATCAGAGTTTGTTTTTTGGATTTGGGGGGGGGGGGGGAAGAGAGAGATATATTTCCAAGCTGTGGATGGTTGCATCTGTGGATATAATATCCAGAGATATGGAGAGTCAACAGTACAATGTTCCCTCTAGGAATCTAGGTCATCCAATGTGATTTTTGGAAACAATTTATTAGCTTCGTGTGTAAAAGCAATGACAAACTTAAACCATCGAACATCCAAGAAACATTGTGGTTGAGTAATTAAGGAATACATTACAATTATATGTAAGAGATAAAATTAGAATAATGTAGAAGCAATAAGGCTCCCTGGTGGCACAGCAGGTTAAACTGCTGAGCTGCAGAACTTGCTGACCGAAGAGTTGGGGGTTCGAATTCGGGGAGTGGGTTGAGCTCCCGCTGTTAGCCCCAACTTCGGCCAACCTAGCAGTTCGAAAACATGCAAACGAGTAGATCAATAGATACCACTTCTGCGGAAAGGAAATGGCGCTCCATGCAGTCACGCCAACCACATGACTTGGGAGGCGTCTACGGACAACGCTGATTGTTCAGTTTAGAAATGGAGATGAACACCACCCCCCAGAGTTGGACACGAATAGATTTAATGTCAGGGGAAACCTTTACCTTTAATTTTTAGAAGCAATAGAAATGACTTTGCTGGGTTTTTTTTTTAATAATGCTCTCTAAGTAATGGAAGGGTTGAGGATATAGATCTCATTGAGGACAGAAGTTATTTTAAATATTTTGGAATGTTAAAATATTTAATTAAAACATTTTTTAAAATGTGATTCTATGGTAAACACAGATTCTTAGAAAAATGTTCTCCCCGATTTTTTAAAAATGTGATTTTTCCACTTTTGCAGGAGTCTTCTGCCATTAACTTCAGTCAATGTGCAGGAATGACTGCACACATTAATGAGTATACTACATTTTAGTCATTAAGGGCATTAACTAATAGTGGCCTTTTACACGGCAATGGCTGCTGTTATTTTATTCTTACTGAAGCCTCCAAAGAAGAACCTGTTGTAATGACTTAGAAGGCATTTCCTTATTTATTTATTTATTTGTTTGTTTATTATTACTATATTTATATACCAAATTACTTGCTCCAAGAGGGGACTCAAGGTGGTTTACAACATACTAATGGAAAAAATTCAATGCCAACACACATGTAAAATGAAAAATCATAATAAACACTAACATGTAACTATAAATTAAAATCATTAAACATAAGACATAAACAACCTTTAAACATTAAGACAAAGCATTAAAAACATCGTAGTATAAATATTAAAATCACATCATCCAAAAAACATACACCATAGCCATTCTGATTGCCATTGCATATATTTCCTAATTATTCATCATTATCCTTTCCAACAAAGACTGAGAAAAGACAGGAAACTGAATATTTATTTAGTCTACCAGACTTTGTATGTCGATCTCCTTACCATCACTTACAAAGGCCAAATTTTGGGCATGCAAGCAGTCTTTATTTCAAACAAAAACAATGAATTGTTTTAATGCAAATGAAACAAGTTTCTCCAATGAAGATGAAGCCACACCAGACAGTAGTATTTACCTCATCTACTCCAGCTGGGCCTGCGGGGACACTCTGAAATTCCTTTTCTTTAGCAGCTTCTTGTGTTTTTAACACAACTTCCTCATGTACTTTTTCAAAGAACTGACTCTTTGCACGCTCCTCTAAATCTGCAATTTCTTCAAACTCTATCCAGTCCTGAAGAAAAAAAAATAAGTACATTCAAACTTCTTTGGAGTCTTTCAAAAGTTTCTTCTCAACATTTTAAGCTAAAACAATAAGACAACTTCTCACAGGAAACACTCAACAATCCGGTTTTTTAGGAATATAATCAGACCATTGCGAAGTCTTGTGAATCCTCAAACAGTTGAGGAAACAACCACTGATGGGTGCACTTTTAAAATCTCTAGCCCATCAACATTACGCAAAACTAAGGATTATCCAGTAAAAGCTGAAACATCCAGAGTGAGATATTTCCTCAGATATACTGACACAGGAAGTGGAAAATTTGTTTAAAGTACATGCAACCCTTCTTGCAAAATACCATATAAATGCGAGTATAGGCCAAGCCAAATATAAACAGAGGCACCTAATTTTACAACAAAAAACTGGGAAAACGTATTGACTCTAGTATAAGCTGAGATTGAAAAATGAAGCAGTTATTGGTAAATTTTGCAATAAAAACAGATATCAATAAAACTACATTAATTGAGGCATCAGTAGGTTAAATGTTTTTGAGTATTTACATAAAATGGTAATTTAAGAAATGGCTGTCCAACTCTGATTAAATCATTATTCTAACCTTCCTCAATATAAATGTGCTTACATATCCTTCTAATAATAATAATAATAGAGTAAAATAATAAATGGAATAACAATAATAGAGTAAAACAATAAATGGAATAGTAATAAGGTAAAATAATAAATGTAATAAACATAGTAATAGAGTAAAACAATGTAAATGTAATAATAGTAAATAGAGCAAAATAATATATACACACTCATAAGGGGAGAGTAGGCAGGGCTACCGCCAAAATGTTTAGTAAGATCTCTAGAAGGTTCCGAAGGTGTCTGCTCAGGTGCAGAAATAACCATATGTGCGATTCACAGGGACCACGATGGGGAACCAGTAAAATAACAAATGACTTTGACTCGAGTATAAGCTGAGGGGGCTTTTTCAGCCTTAAAAAGGGGCTGGAAAACTCAGCTTATACTCAAATATATATGGTATGTGGTGGATTTCTTGTGGCAATTGGGGGGGGGGGGGCTTGTACATAGCAAATTAATGGACCTTGATGACATCACCGATGATATTCTGAGCAATAAAATCCCTACTACATTGAACCTTTAGTTCTGCAGATTCTTCATCAAAACGGAAACTGTAGGATTGCTGAGTAGGATGTCTTATTTGCCTAGATGAGGCTTAAATATAGGATTGGCACTTACTGCCAGGTAGCACACCATTCCCTTAGCAACAAATCAATAGAAAGTGTTTCTCAATTAGCAGCCACAGCCCACATAGATTAGAAGTGGATAACAGTCAACCAGCAAGTCATTCATGCTGGAACTCAACCACTTCCTGCACAAGTTTATAGTCCTTATCAAGGAAACGGACAGGCAGATGAGTTAGCTGGCAGAGAATGCCCTTCCCCCATTGCCTTCTGTGTCTGCCTCGCTCTCTCTATTCTCTTCTCCTATTTCTGTTTGTTACACTACTTCTCATAGAAACCCTTTTATTCAAAGTTTCTGAGCACATGACAAGCCCGAGTCCTCCATTTTGTTCTTCTCTTGTGAGCATGGAGAGAGAAAAGATGTCTGCTGAAAGACAGATAGCTAGGCCCTAACTTTCCTATACAGAAATGTAGTTCTTTCAATGTCTTTTATAACTTTTAAAGCTTGACTCTGCTCCTGTATCGCTTAAGATCATTTGCTCTGTTGCTATGCTTAAGAAGCTTCTGATCTGCTAAAACTGCTGTTGTTGCTGCTTTACCTTTTTAATGTTTTTTTTTCCTTTTTGCAATTACCCAACACCTCAAACCACTAGCACCAAGTCATGAATGTCACCTCCAACACATATGTGAGACTCTACTTCTCATGTCTATGTCTACCTGCAAACACTGTTTGTCCAGGTATGGAAGAAGGAAATTGTGATGAAAAGAGCCACAAATAATAATAATAATAATAATAAATAAACAACTTCATTTATACCCTGCCACCATCTCCCCCATAAGGGGACTCGGGGCGGTTAACATGAGCCCAGGCCCAAAATAATACAGCAAAGTTGGACACAAAACAACAGAAAAATTATATCACAAAAATACATAACAAAATACAATAAACTAAAATAAACAGTGCAAAATCACATAATAAAAATCAGACAAGGAAACAAGACCTTAGCTTTGTTTCCTTGTTTGCATAAACATTTATGCAATGCAATTTTAAAGCACAGGTGCTAATATAAATTAAGAGGACATCCCTCAGATGTGGACATTGTGATTAACACTTGACCAACAGAGGGCATGCTTCAGCAGTGGATTTAAAAGGCAGCAAAGTGGGTCAAGCCCAGAAGGAAGTCAGACTGGAAGCCAAAGATGTATTGAAAACAGGAAGTAGATGCTTTTAAAAATTTATTTATTTATTTATTATTTCATTCACTTATACCCCGCCCTTCTCACCCCTAGGGGGACTCAGGGCGGCTTACATAAAGGGCACAATTAGATGCCCAAATCACACAACAAGTAATCCAAAAAATATAAAATTCAGCAGTTAAGTTAAAAACAACAATACATAATAAAACATAATCCTAAAAACAATCTCATGTCAGAGTCCATATATCAGAGTCCATACATCCATTCTATTCCGTTTGTCCTTGTCTGTCGCCGGTCCTTGATTTAATTATCAGAGTGACCAAAGGCTTGGTCCCATATCCAGGTCTTTAGTTTTTTCCTAAATGCTAGGAGGGAGGTCGCCGATCTAATCTCCCCGGGGAGGGCGTTCCACAGGCGGGGGGCCGCCACTGAGAAGGCCCTGCTCCTCGTCCCCGCCAGCCTCACTTGTGACACTGGCGGGGTCGAGAGCAGGGCCTCCCCAGAAGATCTTAAACTTCGAGGTGGGACGTAGAGGGAGATCCGTTCGGACAAGTACACTGGGCCGGAACCGTATGAAAAATGAAGCAAACATGCAATTAAAATGCAGAAGCAGAAGTTCACCAGTCTTATGATGCCATTGTTGCAAAATCATTGCCTAATGTGAATGCTTCCACATTCAAGAAAATTCAGCATCTTTCAAACAGAGGCCGCGAAATCACATTTAAGCTGATTTTTGAAGACCCAACGCAGCTTTAAATGTGTATGTATCATGGCTTGTTTTGTTATGTTTTTCTGTTTCACTAATACTCATTAGACATGGCAAGTGACAAGTAACAAGTAAGTGTCATGCTGTGGTAAATGTAATGGATAGATCACACTTACTGTTAGGCTGTAGTACCATCTTCTGTGAGTAACTTTCCTGCTAACATCCTTTTCAGTGCGGTTCTGCCGATAATGCCAATCCAAGTGATCTGCATAGACGTCTGTCTGAGATGTTGTAAACCTCATGCCACAAGAATAACACTGAATGCCCGTATAGAGGCGATTTATAACACTATCGTACCGCCTGGGGGGGAAAAACAGAGCCAGATATCTCTAAGTAGATGATTCCTGGTAAGTTATTTCACACGGAAAAAGGTAGGCAATACTGAAAGAACAATGTCACACATCTGGACAGTCTAAAGTTGTATTCAAATTTCAATATTGGTAAAAATTAGTTCAAATACTGATCACTCATGAACCAAAGGAACTTGCTGTAAAAAATATGGGTTCTAAAACTATTTTTGAGTTATTTGCAGGGAATAGGAATACAACAGGCTCTTCTTATCATCCCCCTTTCACTTAAGTCCCATTATATACAATTGCATAGTAAAGTGCTATCCCTTATTGATTTGTGCTTTTAAATCATCTGCTTCACTCTCACTGGTGGACAGGAGTACTCTGGGAAACTTTTTTTCTTTTTCCCTCCCCAGAAACACGATGACTGGCATTCAATCGAGTGATTTTTTTTTTTGCTTTACTTTCTCGCATTGCTCTGCCATCAAGAGAACAGATTCCTCTTTACTTTTACTTTAGCCCTTGCTGTTTTTCTCCTCATGTCCATATACTACTTTCAATCTGATCTCAGTTAAGAAACTATATTTCAATTAATTTATTTAATTCCCCAATCTCTATATGTCTGACAGAGTAGGGAAAACACCTCTGGTTAGTAAGGTAGAATATTAAAAACCTGTAGAAGGGAAGGGGCTTAAGGCTTGCAACTGAGAAAGAAGGCGAGCTCCTGATAGGCCGATCAACATGCAGGAATAAACCCAATGGTAGGTGACCTTCCATGACATCTCGAGATTGGCAAACTCAAAATCTGCTAAAACGTATTTTCAAGCCACGGGTGCTTGAATCCATGGATACAAGGACTTGGCTGTCTTACTCCATGATTCAAAGTCTTTTTTTCCCCACGACAGTGGAAATTAGTTCATTCTTAGATTGCTGAGGACTAGAGAGTGATCCAAGAAAAAAGAGGATGGCTGCATACATATATACACAAATTGTGGCAAATGGCAGCAGGTCAGCAATCCCAACAAGTCATGTGGCAGTTGGCCAGTTGTAAGTGTTCACAGTGTTTTCAAAAGGCCCACTGTTGACTCTGATACCTTGTCAGTAGACAGCTCCAAGGTCATGTGGCCAGAATGATATTACCTACCCACAGAAGCGGTACCTATCGACCTACTCACACTTGCATGCTTTTGAACTGCTAGTTTGGCAGAAGCTGGGCCTAACAGTGGGAACTCACCCCACTCCCCGGATTCAAACCGCCAACCTTTCGGTCAGCAAGTTCAGCACCTCAGCAGTTTAACCTGCTGTGCTACCAATAATTATTATTGTTAATAATTGTGTAAAAATTACACTTTTTTAAACATAAACTCCATACATATTATGGATACAAATACCCCCAAGACACCCAAATTTGATAGATATACATACTGTTTTAGGTCCTCTATCACAAAATTAGTCAGGTCAGGGACATCTTGATCCTCATTTTGGTCTTGTTCTTCTTCTTCCTCCTCTGGAACTGGCTGAGTAGAAATTTCACTGATTTCTAAGCAAGATGAAATAAGATGGACAAGCAAAGGTCAAAAGGGCAATTCTAAAAACTGTGCCACTCAGAATGCAAAGCAAGTATATTTACAACACAACATCACATTATTTGTTTAATAATTCATGAATGTAAATAATTTCAATGATTTTTTTAAAATATTGATAATAACGTTTTCTGATTCCTTCAATTTGATCACTTGGCTTGAAAGAACAAAAAATAATAATCTATTACTGCTATATATCCTCTCTAAAAACAAGCTACATGGCTATAGGTGGATTTATTTTGCAATCCATCAAATTCTACCCAGTGGAATGTTGTCTACCATTAAATTTGAATGGTAATTATGTTTTTAACCACATTACAGCCGACCTTTTGTGCTAAAGTCTCATTACACATACAATGGCACAGTACAATGGTATCCCTTATATAAAATGGTAAAATCAAGAGTCATTAATAGTTGAATCTGTGGATACGGAATCTGCGGATAGCGATGGCTGCCTGTAATTCCTTCAAGAGGTTCAGTACACTAAAATTAAAATACATAGGCTCCACTGTTTCATATCATAGAGTTGGAAGAGACTTTTGGGGCAATCCAGAATGGGGTTCCATTCTGCAAAGAAGCAGGATAATCGCATTCAAAGCACCCCAAACTGATGGCCATCCATTTTTCTGTTTAAAAGGTTCCAAAGAAGGAGTCTCTACCACACTTCAAGACAGAGAGTTCCACTGCTGAACAGCTCTCATAGTTAAAAAGTTCTTCCTAATGTTCAGGTGGAATCTCCTATCTTGTAGTTTGAAGCCATTGTTCTGTGTCCTAGTCTCCAGGGCAGCAGAAAACAAGCTTGCTCCCTCCTCCCTATGACTTTTCCTCACGTATTTATACATGGCCCTCATCATGTCTCCTCCCAGCCCTCTCTTCTGCAGGCTAAAAATGACCGGTTCTTTAAGCCGCTCCTCATAGGGCTTGTTCTCCAGACCCTTGATCATTTTAGTCACCCTCCTCGGGACACATTCCAGCTTGTCAACATCTCCATTCAACCGCAATGACCAGAATCATGCCAAAGTTTGACATTTAAATAATATAATGTAATAATTTGGTAACATTATACAGCACAGCAACAAAAATCTTGCTCTCTTGGTTTTTAGGCCTGTTCCTGAGTTTATTTGGGGTGCTGATTCAGAAAACCGCACTGGATAGTCCACGTTAGCTCTAATTTCTTAGATATGCTTATCATGATGTTCTATAGGCTAGCAGATGAAGAATGGTATATGGCTGACTGGGGAAAAACAGTGCTATTTTTGGAATCAGCAGGTCAAATATGGCCAGAAACAGGTATAATAGTTGAGGCACCAAAATGTATGTTGGGCAGTGTTATTCTTACGTGGTGAAGCTGTATCCGGCTGTAAAACTTTGAGAATTCCTGTGGATAGTAGCTTTGAGTACAAATCGTTTACATCAAGTTGTCCAAGATGATTATCAGGATAAGATAGTGGAACATTTCCTAAAAATGGAGCAGTGTAAAGAGTTAATGTCTCTTCCCTAGAAAATCCAGTATCACTTTTCTCATTGCAGATACTACTTGCTGAAGCTTAAACATTTTATAGTGAAGAAATCAAACACATATTTACATTCCCTTTCCTCATATTTTATTGTCTTCTCAACACCATTTTGGTTATCATGCCCATCCCATCTAAATTATTTCTCTGTATTTCAGCATCTATAAGTCAAATCAACTAAAAGTGTGCCTTAATAAATCCAAATAGCCTTTAAGGCCTCTCAAGACTACCTCCTTTGGGTTAAAAGAGACTAATTTAGTTGGCTTTGTAAATTATCTGTCAAATGTTACAAGAAGGCCAGCCTCCAAAGAAAGGCAGAATTAGTTCTGTGAATCCAATTAGGTTTAGGACATATAGTTCTTTAACAGCCAGTCTTTGCTGCACTGCCTTTGAAATATCAAGGATAATCTCTAGAATAATCTGTACTGTGACATACAGGTCTAAGTAAATAAAAATCCCAGTAGGTGTGCAGAAGACCATGTGACTGCATTCAAAATTATCTTCCAAGACAGAAAGGTTTTAAACTATCGTCATCTATCTAGTTCACCCTATTCTTTTACCCCAATTTCAATTAGTATTGCTGCTAATATTTTGGAAACATATATGAAGATGGTAGGACAACAAATAAAATCCAGGGAAGGGGGTCAATCTTCTGTTTGAATAAGATGTGGGCAGAAGGTAGATCAGAGTCCATTGTTAGTACATCAGCAAGGGTTTCTGACTCCAAATACTGAGGAGAAACTGTATTCGTTCAAAGTTGAAATAAAAGTTGAAATCAACAGGTTTGTTGTGGAGTAGACATACATATTTCAGAGTTAATTTTCATCTTCTAGCTCATGTTATGTTAGGATAAATGGATTGGCCTTACAAGTGTCACAAGACTGTTTTGATGACTATCAATGAAAAAGGTTTACTAGGCTTCTTCAATTCTCAGACACTTTGTTCCTATATAAAAGATAAAAGTTTTCCCTTGACATTAAGTCTAGTTGTGACTCTTGGGGATGGTGCTCATCTCCATTTCTAAGCTGAACAGCCAGCGTTGTCTGTAGATGCCTCCAAGGTGACGTGGCCGGCATGACTGCATGGTGTGCTGTTATCTTCCCGCCAAAGCAGTACCTATTGATCTATTCACATTTTGCATGTTTTCAAACTGCTAGGTTGACAGAAGCTGTGGCTAACAGCAGGAGCTCACCCCACTCCCCAGATTCAAACTGCCAACCACCGGGGGCTCCTTCTTCCTATATTTTTTCCTATATAAACAACTCTAAAATGAGGTGCATCTTGGAATTGCATGGATAACATGTATTTTTTGTTGGTGGTGATACTGAAATTAGCGTGAACCTTATAATCAATGGCGTCTAACAACTGAAAAAACATGGTATTTCTAAATTACTCTTAGAAATAAATCCACATCTGAATGACTAGATTAGTACAAGCACTATACAGGCAGTCTCAGTTACAAATACCAGACTTACAAACAACTCATAGATAAGAACAGGGGTGAGACAACAGGAAGTGAGAGAAATCTATCCCTGGGAAAGGAAATTCACTCCTGAAAGAGTTATAATGGGGAAAAGGTGTTTCCACTGAAGCTGTATCACCAAATCCTTGTTCCACAACAAGACAACTTTTTCAAAATCCAATTATCACAAGGACAGAAAGGGAGTTGAAATCTTCTAAACAAAGACACAGACAGCAAAGCAAACACCACAGGGGTGTTAACTCTTTCCTATGTTATTCAAAACTAATATGTATGTATGTCTGCCTGGAATTACACTAAAAATGTACCTGTTGTGACTTACAAACAAATGCAACTTAAGAACAAATCTACGGAACCTATTTTGTTCATAACTTGGAGACTGAATATAGTTTTAACTATACTATTTGTATGAATTTGTAGTCATTCAGATGTAATTTATACTTGTATACCCAGATTATTCTAAGCAGTATTTCCCAAACTTTGGTCTTCCAGGTATTTTGAAACCCTGATCACTGGCGAAAGCAGAAGACACTTCTGAGTGTTGAGTCCAAAACACCTGGAAAACCAGAGTCTGGAAGTCACTTGAGTGGGCTGATGAAGTGCAATAAGCACCTAGCTCCCCTATTTTCCACCTCAGCCATTTTTCATTAAGCTTTCCTCCTTGCCAGTGGTTCTCAACTTGTGGGTCCCCTGATGTTTTGGCCTTCAACTCCCAGAAATCCTAACAGCTGGTAAACTGGCAGGGATTTCTGGGAGTTGTAGGCCAAAAACATCTGGGGACCCCAGGTTGAGAATCACTGCTCTATGCCTTTATTCAGCCTCCTGAATTATTTTGGCCTTAAAGCAAATCAGATTCTATAGATTCTACAGCCTTCAGTTTCACCACTAACTCCTGAAAGGACCCTCCCTCACAGTCCTAGGTGGCCCTGCCACAACGCAGGAGGAGCTTGAAGACGTGCTTGTTCCAGTGTGCCTTTCCCAGAATAGGAAACTCCAAGCATCATGTCCCTAAATGCACTTTACTAGAGATTTAAGATTGTCTGCACATTGCACCTATCTCCAAAAAACCTATCTATTTCACCTGCCATGCCCAGCATTTTAAATTTTTTAATAATTACATTGGCCCGGCCTTAGTTTTTAAATGTGTCATGGTATTATTGTCTAATGTTATTTGCTATTGTTTTAATGTTTATTGCTGTTTTATGAGTTTTTTGTTGTATTTGTGATGCTGTTGTTTTTGTGATGTTTGGGCCTCGGCCTCTTGTAAGCCACACCGAGTCCTTCAGGAGATGTTAGCGGGGTACAAATAAAGGTTTATTATTATTTATTATAACTTACACATATTTTGTAGCCCAAAAAGTCCTAAACTATCAATACGTCTCTCAAACAAGTTATTTCATATTTTCTTCCTCCAGAGTTTTTTCTCCTATAGCAGTTGGCTCTCCTGTCTTGGCACAAATGTATCCAAGTTTCATTGTGTGGGATGGAGTGTTGAAACAAAACTCTCAAATGTTTGTGCCATTGTTTTCTGGACTATGGTAAAGATTGTGAAGTTGAGCTCAGAATTCTCATGTCCCCTTGGTATTTCAACCATATGTAAACATGTTACACAAACCAGTTTGGCCCTCACCTACAAGTTCTATGTGCTTAGCCATGCTGATCACAACCTCATAACAGAGACTAAAAATGTGGACAGTATGAAAGCCTTTGATAAACTAGCGTTTTGCTAAAAGGAGACAGAGATTTAAATATTTACCTGGTTGATTTTGGACAAAGCTTCCAGGATTCTGTGCGTGAACTGGTAAGAGTGGTTGAGGTTGACCGTAAGGTACAGGCTGAGCAGCAGCAATAGACATAATAGGAACCTGGCAAAGATAAGTGCTTTTTTCAATTTGACTGTTCCATTACTTTTAAGTTTTAAATCTATTTCAATTTTGCATTAGGACTCAAAAACAGCAGAAATCAGTTTCCAGAACTAATATCATACACCTACAGAAAAATGCAATATATCATTAACCCAAACATATTAAAATTCAAGACATTTGCTGGGGCAAATGTCTTGAATTTTAATATGTTAGGGTTAATGTTAATTACCTCAGAAGAATACCAACACTGGTATTAGCTAAATATTAATATTGGTTTTGCTTTTGCAAAGTGCTCCAAACTATTATTCGACAATCATTTTTCTTTCCCATGATGAATAAAAGTGGTGCTGTTACTCCATTGAGTAAAATGACTTTTTAAAATTCTATCTTGATTTCAGATGGAAACAAAGTAAATAATGGAAAGAAACAAGCAATATGCTAATCTCAATACCTGCTACAAAAATCTATTTTGCGAACAAATACACTACTTCAGATTTTCAATGCTGGAACTTTATTCCCTTTTATAGTCAAAATTGGGAAAACAGACTCAATATTAGGAAAGTCATCCTGATAGTAATAACTATTTCACAGTGGGATACACTGCCTCAGAATGTGAAGAAGTCTCCTTCTCTAGAGGTTTTCAAACAGAAGCTGCATGGCCATCTTTTGTGGAGTGCTTTCATAGTGTTGCTGTACGTTTTTTCGGGCTACATAGCCATATAGCCCAAAAAAACCTACAACCCAGTGATTTCAGCTATGAAAGCTTTCAACAATACATTGCTTTCACAGTGTTTCTGTATGGAAAGTGGTTGGCATAGATGACAATTGGGCCTCTTCCAGCTAAGTCTATAGGCCTCTATCACCTTTCCTTCATATTATTGATTTAATGCAACAAGTGTAGACTGCAAAGAAAACCTAACCTTCAAGGTGTCAAACCTCTAGATTCAACCATGCCCATACTACCACAAATGTTTATACATTTCATATTTTTCAATTTACACAGGTTACTGCTAGTGAGGGAAGGAACATGCATCTCACCAGTCTTCATTCGAAATACAAATTTTGCAAACCTCCTTACCTGTTGGGGTGGCTGAACATTTCCCACTGACATATTATTGAAGTTTCCATATTGAGGTCCTTGAAGGTTGCCGTCATCATAAAATGGCCCAGGTGCCCGGTTAAGAGAATTAGGAAAGGCCTGTGCTCCAGGAATAGGAGGCCCGTTGAAATTTGGTCCCTGAGCATTATCAAATATTTGCTCAGGTCTCTGAAATGGCATTCCTTGCGATGGTCCATTAAAGGGAGGCTGGCCTGATGGTTCATTGAAAGGGCCAGTTTGTCCATAAGGCAAAGCTTCTGGTCTCGAGGTTGGATGGCTAGCCATATTTTCAATTCTTTGACCCTGATGACCAAGAGCAATATCAAACCGTACTGCAGGATCTTCAAAGCGCTGAGGTATTGATGTATCAAATCGTGGTTGTACCTGGTGACCTGGTGGACCATCAAACCGAAAAGGCGTTTGCTGAGCAGGGCCCATTTCAAACCTTGGACCATGCAATCCATCCAGTCTTTGCAAAAGTGATGGATGCGATGGTTGATCATCAAATCTTGACTGAGAGCCATCAAATCTTGGGCCTGTTTGACTAATAGGTCCTTCAAATCTCACTCCACCGGATTGGATAGAAGAAGGCCCTTCAAATCTTGGACCCATCCCAGGCTGTCCATGTGGCCCCTGACCAAGAGGACCCTCAAATCTAGGTCCAACCCCTGACTGCCCAAATGGCCCAACTGGCTGTCCATGTGGCCCCTCAAATCTCAGACCACTTGGTTGCCCATGTGGTGCATCAAACCGCAAATTGCCTCCTGGTTGGCTAAGAGGACCTACTGGCTGCATATGTGGTCCTTCAAACCGTAATCCAGGCCCTGGTTGTCCATGAGGCCCTATTGGCTGACCGTGCGGTCCTTCAAATCTCATCCCTCCACCTGGAGGTCCATGAGGTCCCAGAGGATGTTCATGAGGCCCTTCAAACCTCAGCTGGCCATGTGGCCCTTCAAATCTCATTCCACCCGATGGCTGGCCATCAAACCTCATGCTAGCTGAAGGCTGGTCATGTGGTCTCTCAAACCTGATTCCAGATGATTGACCAGGAGGGCCTTCAAACCTCATCCCTGGCTGGTTATGACTCTCAAACCTCATCCCTCCAGGGGGCTGTCCCTCAAATCTTATGCCTGAAGGACCATCAAACCTAAGTGATCCCCCTGACTGTCCTATGGGTTCCTCAAACTGTATTCCCATTCCTGCCCCAATCTGTCCTGTAGGCCCTTCAAAGTTCAAGGGACTGCCTCCCATTGGCGCTGGTGGCCCATCAAACATTAGAGAACCTTTCCCTCCAGACTGCACTGGAGGTCCATCAAACTTTGATCCTGGCTGGTTTAGAGTGGCTTCAAACCTTATATTCGTCTGTGCTTGTGGTCCTTCCATTCTAGAATTTGTATTCACCAGCCCATCAAAGTGAGTTGGTTGTCCATCTCCACCTGCCCTTGTGCCAGGATGCCTAGGAGAGTCTTCAAAGTGAACTCTCTCTTCCAACAATGAACTAAATCTTTGCTTTCCATCAGTAACCAAATCGTGACCAAATCGTGATCCCGCACTCTCGGTAAACGGTTTCTCTGTATCTTCGTATCTCACTCTCTTGTAAGGTTCACTACTGTATGTAGGCCTTTGCTCCTCACGAATACCTAAAAAGAGGGGGGAAAGGTTAAAAAATAAAGCTTACTTCATACCCTATTGTGCTACAGAAAATAAATTGATACTACTAAAATGTAAATCCTCAAAATGATTGGTTTGAAAACTTTAATTTCTACACATTTGGAGCTCACTGATAGAACAATGTTCACCTCAAAACAACTTTTACCTTTTAAAGAGTTTGGCTCATCATGCCTTCTCCGACCTTCATGCTGTGAATTCTCCGAGTAGGGCCTGTTACTTCCAATAGGAGAATGCCGTCTTGATCTTTCTACAAGCTGGCCACCACTTTTGTTTTTTGTTTGTTCACAGTCAATTGCAGAAAGAAATGTATCCTTTAAGTGATAGTCTAAAATGTCTTCTGCATCTACCATATTGAGTCTTGGAAAAGCATGTTGAACTTGTGTCCTTTTCAGTTTAGCTTTATGTTCATGATATATTAATTCCGATTCAGACAACAAGGGCTTCTTTTTGGAAACGCCCTTTTCCCCTGATGGGCTATCCCACACATTGCATCTGTGCTTTCCTTCTTGATATTGGAAGAGTTGATGAATCTTATGACACAGAACCAGGAAGTCATCTTGTGTTATTTCACCAGAAGATAGACGTTCATTTGCCTGGGATAAAACAACATTTTAAGAGTTAATTTGGAAAACTGTTCAGGGAGAGAACTATGGACAACATCCAGTGAGACTATATCACATTATGGAAATTATTTATGTTCTCCTCTCTCTCTGCAACCATACAAGCCACCAGAAAATTGATTCCAGGCAATTGCCAAATGCAAAGTTGCAGTACAGGAAGGAAATATTCCCTACACATTTACTCTGGGCTCCATTATGGTGTGAACAGACAATGAACAGTGTAGGATACAGGCCTATGGTTCAAGACAAAGTGATTACCTTCTTCAAAAGCTCTCTCTTGTTTGCCAAGGTCAGTTCTTTGGGAATCTGCAAATTGGCATCAACACTTAGTCGATGTTGCTGCTTTGGTGTGCGAGGTGATGTGACTCCTTTACTAGTTGGCCAAGTTTCCCTGTGCCTCTGATGTGGGGGTTTACTACCACTTTGATGTTCTTCATTAATTTGGGGGCTGAAATCAACAGAGACAATGTTAATTTTAGTCTTCCTATAGTATCACTTTAAAACTCTTTTTGTATTTTTAAGAATATGCTTCTGTTCTGTTGTGACAATAATCCTACATCTCTACCAAATCTATCTGAATGACTATAGGTCATATACCAACTTACTTTTTATTTTCTTCCCAACCAGATTTCCATCTTTTGCTTGACTTAGAACTTTGCCAGTTCTCCACGTTTTCTTTGGGTTCAGATGTTGCCTTTGAAGAATGCTGGTTTGTGCCTTCTTGTGGCCGGTCCTCGTGAATTCTCTTTGGCCTCCTTGAGTCTCTCAGTTCCAGTTTAAGGCTCCTTTTATTGGAGGTCCTTTCATCCCGTATGTCTGGCCCAAAGTCTTCCGCATGAGACTTTGGTCCAGATTGCCGAGGCTTCCCCATCTTTGTTATGGAAGGAGAGAGACTCCTAAGCCTTCTTTTGGGAGACCTTCTATCTCTTCGTTTAGGAGAATGGGAAGACGGTGATCGGGATCTAGGAGAACGGGACCTTTTCCTATTACTTGACCTCCCTGGCTTTCCACCTTGTTTCTCCAACTCTTCAGTACTGAGATCCTGTTTTTGCACAATGCCATTAACTATTTTATTTCTACTACCAGTTGATCTATGTTCTTCTTTGTCTTTTCTTTCAACACTTCTTCTCTTTTCTTTTGTATCATCATCTTTACCATCTGGCTTCTCCATGAGATGTTTCTTTAATCTGGGATCTCTCTTGCTTATTTCAGATACTCTGCTACTCTCACATTCTTGGTTCCTGGTATCTTTACTATGAGGCAGCTTGCTTTGCAAGGGAGATGGTGACTTTGGTTTTGATTTTGCATCCAATTGGACAAACTCTTTCTTCTGCAATTTCTCACTCTGTTTTTGCTTTTCTTGCTTCGATGTAGTTTGTTTTTCAGTCTGTAAAGTTTTGGAAGTCTTTGGATCTGTCTGGCTGACTGGATTCGTCACAAAATCTTTCCTATGGCTTTGATCTTTAGAATGGGAAGCATGTTGACTTGTTCTATTAAGACGAGGATCTCTGTTGGGTGTTTTGACATCATGGAGTGGAGATAGGCGGTTTTTCTCTGGTGGAAGACAAGCTGGAAGTGGAGCTTTAACAGGCATATGAGACGGCTGTGGAGCATGTTGTCTCAAGGAAGCTGGGCCCAGGCTGGACCCACTAAGAGAAACAGCCTAAAATATGGAGAGGGAGAAAAGGTTAATATTTCAAATACAAACAATTGCAAAATTTCAAAATCAACATAATAAGTTATTTCATGTGTTCTGGAGTTCCAGTCATAAGCATGTGTAACCAAAAATGAGTTGTTACTATGAAATGTATGTAAAACAGCATATATTTTTTTCATTAGCCTCCATTTTGGAATTTCTTTGCAATTTTTCCATGTTTATCAAAACGTCAAAAGCACTTAAAGTATCTAGTTATTAGTATTCTTGTTTCTAAAGATCTACTTATTTGACAAACTATGTATGAAAGGCATAAATAAAATGTCTGCATCCAAAAATGGAATACTGAAAATATTCGAACAGGCTGGACGACTCAGTCAGATTTATAATAATGACCAAAACTGAAATTCCAGATTTAAAGACCGTTTCCATTATGGTAAAAACACCAAACATCTGGGCGTTCCCTGGGCAACATCCTTGCAGACGGCCAATTCTCTCACACCAGAAGCAACTTGCAATTTCTTAAGTCGCTTCTGACACAAAAAAATAAAAATCTAAATTGAATAATGATTGACATCAAATTATCTCTGTGGTGATTAAAATGGCTTAATGTTACATCCGCTGTATGATGTTTTGATAGTTTTCCTGAAGATCTGTGTACTGTGTGACGACACATGCCTACCTTTAATTCATTAGCTACTTTCAATGCCACAGCAAGAAATCTTCCAGTTCAGTGGTTTCAATTCAAGAACTGGGTAATGGTAAATCCTACCTATGAGCATGGAAGTCATCATTAAATCAAATGTAATTTAAAATCCAGATGTAAGAAAAGAGGCTCAAAAGCCAGTTCCACTACTAATAACCTGAGTGCAATTTAGAACCAGTCAAAGCATTGCAGAACACGTATCCTTCCTCATTAACATGTTGAGGATAGGAGTGCAATGTGTGTCAAAAAGTGCAGTTGGTCACATTGATTAATCTAGTGAGAGAAAATTACAGGGTTAGAGAGACTCTGCTAATCCACTAACAAGCCTACTAAAATGTTTTTTTTTCTGAGACTAATACACACACTGTATTAAATTCTGTCAGAAAGGCAAACAATCCTTCCAGACAGGCTAGAGCAACTATTTCTATCCTACTCACCAGTTGTGCTTTAGTCTGCTCTAGTTCCAGTTCTAATTTTTTCTGTTGAAGTTCTAACAACTGCTTTTGTTTTGCCAGAAGCTGCTGTCTTATTAATTGTTCTTGAGTCAAATTCTTTTGTACTTCTGGAACAATTGGAGTAGAGGAAACAGCAGAACTGGATACTGGAGAAGAAGTGACTGTAGAGCTAGGTACAGGAGGTTCCTCGGGCTACCAAGAAAATAGCAAAGAACACGATTCTTAAAGTAGAAGCAACTATTAATCCAAAGCTACAATTTTGTGATTACTTTTTTAATGTTTTCACATCTTAAAAACTACAATGAGTGTCATTTGACATTTAATGCAATGGAAAAACAGAAAAATCGATGTATTTTACCTCAGCAAATTAACAGTACAGCGAAGATTTTTTAAAAACCTCATATACAATTATATAACAGCCAAGGACTTTAAATTGTACTTTAAAGAGTGTCTGACATAAAATGAGGTAACTCCACTCTAAATCAGCACACAATAGCTGTAAAAACTTACCGATTTGTTTAAAAACTTAGGGTTCACATGGATGCTAGAAGTATTCACATTAGGGGGTAGTGGCTTAATTGGCCAAGCAGGGTCTACTGAATTCACCCGGACATCAAGTGCATATAGTTTCTTCAAAGGGAAAATCTCATCCCACGTGGAACGCAATTTAAATAAACTTTTCCTAGTATTTTCATCCACCTAAGAACAACAGAATAATTCTATGGCTTGTTACGTTAATAAAACACATGCATCATGCTTCTTTTTACACACAGAAATCACAGAAACTAATTTCTCGCGCTACACCATGTTCATATATGTGTACTGAAGTTCCACTGATGTCAAAAGAAATCAAGCTCAGTCTTGGTACTTATACAGATTATCCAAACATACAATATTTATTTTAACACAATATCGATAACTTTCCCATCCTGGTTAGTCTCAAATACTCTATCTCATTTATTCCAAACACTTATATCTGCCATGTTCCCATATGTAACTATAAAAACAAGACTGATCATTTTCAAAATCCAGATTTTTAAATTATATACATGGCATTTCTCTTGAAGTATTTTGCAATCTAAAAATATAGCATTAATACTTCATTATCCTAGCCAAGTAAAGGGCTAATTTGTGTAATAAAAAGTGAGACGGGAGAAGGAAAGATATGTAGCAATGCTTTTAAGATAATATTTATATTTTTGAATGTTCAAGCGTAGTAGAGTATGTCCGAAAGAGTGTCTTTATACCCATGACAGCTCATGCAAAAATAAAGATTAATCTTAAAGGTATTGTTACGTTCCTGTATCCCCCCCTTTTTATGCCTGAAAAAAAAATAACCTAGCTACTCATCTGAAAGCTTGAGATAAGTATGCTAGTGAAATTATGCCGTGCCATAGTTGTCGTTATTCAAATGTTTTAATTTAACCATCTTCAGTTTTACACAGCAATTCAAAATATATACGTATAGATCCAGGAGGCTAAAATTGTTTGGATTTTAAATCCAAGCCTCATCAAAGTGTGTTCTCACAAGTTACTGAAATGGATTGAGAACTGGTCAACCTTAGAGCAAACACAGTGAAGTGGAGCTTAAGTTAAATGCAACTAAAATGAGTTCCATTGGTTTCAGTGAGTCTAAGCATAATGAAGTAAAGAACCAAGTGACAAATTATTTAAGATTAAACAAAATATGGATGTACATTGAGTCTATTCTCTTGATGTTTGCTTAACTAAATTGTTATCTGAAAGTCAGCGAGAATGGATTTTTAAAAGTTAGATATAAACCGTTCCACTGTACTCTTTATATATTTATACACCCACAAAACCAAGACTTTGTGCCAAGTGTTTATTTATGCAACAGCCAATCTGAAAAATATTTATGAAAGCACATTTATATACCTTTTCAAACACATTAACAAATGTTGCAACTAAGTTTTTAGTAAATGCAGCAAGGTATTCTCTTCCAACATTCTTGACAATGGAATCCATAAGGTACATGACAGGAAGTTTCTCACTAGAAGGAGCCTGTAGTAATAAGAAGAAAACTAAGACATTCAGTTATAATAAAAACATTTTAATTTATTTTTTGAGTTGCCATTTCCCAAATTACCATACCTCTATTTTGCAACAATTATTTTAAAGGATGCTCCAAGGATTTGAAAGCTAAATAGCTCAAAACCAACAAAAAATATCAGGTTCTCTGTTATCTATTAGATTGTGAAGGGAGACTCCAAACAAATCCAAGACAAAAAAATTACTCTTGGGAGTATCCAACATAGCCACTTTATTTATATAGTGTGGAAGTAGAATAGATATTTAGGGCACACATGCCAACTTCTGTTGCAATCTCTGTAAGATGGGACATGAGCCAACTTAAAGATATGCAAGCCCTATAAATGAAGGGGAAATTCTCAGTGGATGGAAAGATGGTGACCATCACTCCCACTTAGTAAGCCACATTTGTAATAAAGTTACTTTGCTGCAATCCAAACAAATGCTATGAAAGTGTCACCAAAGCTGGCCAGTTGTCACTCCCACTCTAGATTCTGTCACAACCATACAACTGAAAGTAAAAAAAAAGGTATAAATCCAAAATGGAGTTATGGTGGTGAACAGAAAGGCTCATAAATTGAAACCAAAGACTGGCGCAGAGGACAGTCTTTCATGTATGAACACTCCTCAATGTCCAAGGAGCAAGCTGGACAGTTTTCTCCACACATAAGATGTGCTCCAGTTCATGCAGTGCATACGGTGTTCTTGAAACTTAGCTTCCAAGGGAAATGGAAACCTTCTTGGTTCTGTTCAAAATGGGCATTAGTAACTCATCCATACCAGGAAAGGATAGGAAGCTTCCACAAAGCATCAGAATGTATAAGGACTTCTTCGGATGGGCAATTAAATGGCTCTAGCACATGTTGGTTACTAATTACCCTCCTTTGGCACAGAAGCAATGCAATTCCCATTTACTATCCAAATGATTCTAGAACTCTAGGATTTACATGAAGTTACATGGCAACTAATGGGCTGGTAATCAAAATTCAAATACCCAGACATAGTGAGCTGCCTCAAGTTGTGAAGAAATTGGTAGAAGGCAAATCCTTTGCTTCTTGTTCAGTGTCGATAAACCTGAACCATCTTTGATTTAGCTTCACCCTCTATGGGGTCTGGAATTTTTTTGAGCACAAGGCCTTCAAACCATTTAATTAGCCTATCACTATCTGAAATATGCTTCTGATAATTATATCAGTTTTCAACCAGATTGGGCTTTTATCAAATTTCATGTACAAAAAAGTATTGCAAAGGGAAATAGTTCTTCATATGAAACAAAAAAGAGAACAGGCGTGACATATATGGAAGGTAGAGAAAGGTATTAATTTCCAAAATGTGGTATTTTAAAATAATTTAATTAGGCACACCCTGAACAGACTGGAATTGTAAGGATTCAATTTTACTCATAACAATAGAACTTGGGAAGAATTAAAGGTGCTTTAGACAATTTTGTGCAATGGTTCTATTCCTTTTTATGATGGAGAACGGGCAGACCAAGATATAGGTGTTCTTCCAAGATCTTACTCCCAAAGCATACAATTTTACCCATCTGTGGCAGCAAAGCTGCTATTTCATAGATTATAAACCCCTAATACACTAATGGAACTGTGTGGAGGTATGATATAGAGAAGTAGACTATCACAGGATCTCCTTTCAGGAATAAAGTAGCAAGCCCCAAGTTGAAATGAGAAGAACACCACATCTATGAATGAGAATGTAGGACCACAGTATTTAAGTTACCAAACTATTTCAATAGTTTGAAAGGAAACATATGAGGGGTTCCCCTAAATGTCAAGTCAAACCCAAGTTTAGATTATCACAATGTTGTGGAAGCGCAGTAGGCAACACAAACCCCTAGTAAGCTGAAGGTGAATTAATTTTAAGCTTATTTGCAGGAAAACCATTTTCAGAGCTCAAAAGAATGTCTGCAGTACTCCTCCAAACGTCACAGGAATGAGTGTTGAAAACGTGAGGGCCTGTGTTTTTCTGTTGAGTTTTCCCAAAGTTTTCAGACTTCCTCACACATTGTTCGTTGCAAACCCAGGACACAGAATAATTTAACACGTTACAAACAGATTCTGCACTACACCCGGTAAATAAAAAGACAAATACATATTTCATACATTTTATTTACAGTTTAGAATACCAGTCACACATTTCAAAATCATTTATTAAAAATGTATTCAAACCACTCCATTTTACACTAAATAGAAACTTGTCTCCAGACACACTTTCAAAAGTGGTTTTCAGAGAACTCAGATCTCTTGTTGCATCCTAGTCATTAATGACAACTAAGCACATCTAATTAGAGGTACAGATTTTAAACGTCTTTAAATACACTTATGGGGATAACTAGGTAACCACCCCAACCCAAACAACAGTACTGCAATGTATTTCCAGTCACTAACAGAGAGGCCGAAAACATATAAAAATAAATGTGGGAAGTGTCTGGATAATATATTGTAGCAACTCAATCTACACTACAAGTAGGCTTTTCTGTATCCCTGGTTTAGATATTATATTTTAAAATCCCAGCTTAAATTTGCAAAATAAAAAAGCCCAACACCCTGAAGGAAGCAGAGAAGGGGCGGGGGGGGGGGGGGAGAAAGGGAAAGAGAGTCAAGAATGTTTCACTACAGTAAATGTTTTAGCCTTTCACTWTTTCAATGATAAAAAGATGCAATAGCTGACTGTATGCCGTTTAGGTTGTGCTAACACAATGCCTGGATTTTCTGACAAAATGCTTGGACTGGATTTGCAGTCTCTTTTTGCATCGTATGTATTCTCTGGCGCCATGTTGGGATTGTAAGGCTGCAGCAATTCCTACAGACAGGGCGGAACATTTCTTTCCCTGCTCTAATGAATGGGCTGCTCTATGAAGAGAATCAGGCACACACAGGCACGCACGCACACTCCCTTCTCATCTACCATAATTCTTATTACTCAAGCGTTCTAGGAATGTAACAATCCGCCCGTGCCTCAGAAACATCCTTCCCCAGAAAACAACATAGGGGCAAATTCCCTCCTTCACTCACACAAAACGATCTTTTTAGGTCTCATCTATTTAAATGACCACGGTGGCAGAAAGAATTAAGTAATCCTTGTCTATAAAACCTTGTCGATCTTTTTATTTTGATATAAATTGAAAACATGTTTATTTAAAATATCAATTACTGGATATTTTGAACAGCCACAGAACTAAGACCAAAGCAAGCTATACCTGACAGCATGGCACAGCATGGCTGTTGCTGCACAGTCACTGCCAGACCGCCATGTTGTCTCTCCCTCTTTTACACAAGCTTGAAGAGACTGTCACGGTATCTTCCCAGTTACTAGTGAGGAGTGCCCTGCCCTTCACATATGTTACATTCTTCCACATTCCCCTTTATCCTATAACTATACTGCTATGAAACCAATTCTCCCCACCCCCCACCCCCACTGCGTCCTAACTCTGCCCTGTCCACAGACAAATACTGTCTGAGCTCTTTATCTAGCCTTTGAATGGTTTCCCACCCTTTTATTCTGCATTACAAACATCCCTCCATCTCTAATCATCTTCCCCCACCCTTCATTTCCCTCCCCCCTCCAAGGTTAAAGTGCATTCTATTATCTTTCAATCCACTTCTATCTATAACTAAGTATTTTCTAGGCCACCTTCTCAACCCATTTCTTGTTGATATCCCAAGGCAGGCCTTAAGATACTATAGGGACTGCCCTCCTACCTATAAATTGCCATAATGTGTCCCTGGCACTCAACCCTACACATCATTGACCCCTTTTTCTAGCTTTTCCCTCACTTCTGCCATTGCCACAAACTATGATTCTATGATTCACATCCAATAGATGAAACCACCCATAAATCTTTTTAATCTGCCCTGATACTGGAGAGCCTGCTATACTGGCATAAGTTTGTGGGTCAGCCAGGGATTTTGGTGTCCATACTTCCTACAATGGCCAAAAAAATTGTACATTCAGCAAGTATGACTGAGCAAATAGGTTTTTGAACTACACATTTCCTCTTTCTCAAAGAATCACCTTCCATGTTTTTTGGGCCTGTCTCATTCCACCCAACATATATCTCGCCCTCAACTGCTCAGGCCTACTTTCCCTCATCCTTCTTTATAGGACTTTATCAGCTTCCACAAATATTGGACCTCCACACTTCCTTCTTCAACTTACTTTCTCCAACATTTCCCCCCTTATTCCCTGACCTGCCTGTTTTTGTCCCAATCAATAAATGTGAACTCCTCCTCCAAAAGACCTTGATCTCTTTCGTGTATGCATACAAAACAGTATGCAATGGACACTTGTGGAACTTTTGAGAATAAGAGTTATGAACTTGGTGGTATAAGCTTTTGTAGACTACAGAAACAGACAAGACTATTTTATGCCACTCATGTTTTGCTCTCAGTCTCAAAAGCACTACAAGATCTCTTTGTGAACTGATGCTTCTATTTTTATATTGGGGATCATTGTTCTACATGATCTGAATGTCTGATAGTAAGCCAAGCTAACTGGGGCTCCACTCGTTTTGAATCCTACACACTTTTGTACAACTCACACGATAACTACAACCCTGGCCCTTAAAGGGTTTTAAATTCATATCCTTCTATGATCCCTTGCAAATGCTGATACTCCAGACTAACATGGCTGTGGCCTTTAAATACTACCCACAAACAATACAATCACCTTGCCTCTTATTTCCCTGAAATTTGGCCATCTATCTATCTGTAGATACATAGAAACATCACCTTTTATTTTCCCTGAAATTTGGCCCACCTTTGTATGTGTGTGTATAGCTATGCCTATCTATCTATATCACATCTTCTTTCCCTGAACTTTGGTTCCATACTGAAACCTCTTCAGGACTTTTGGCCCACCCTGTAGATACATATCGATAGATACAGCTGTGTCTATATATATCTATATTGCCTTTTTCCCCTGAACATTGACTTCATTCTGAAACTTGTGACTTCTGGCCTACTCTTGTAGATAATACAAATGCATATGCCTATATACCCACAGATATAAAGAAACATCTCCTTTTCTTTCCCAGACTTTTAGCCCACCCTATAGATATACACATATATGTGTCTACGTATCTACAGATATATAGAAAAACCGCCTTTTGTTTTCTTTGAAATTTGGTTCTATATTGAAACACAATTGGGACTTTTGGCCCACCTTGTATATACTGATAGATATAGCTATGTCTATATATGTATCTATATTGCCTCTTTTCTCTCTGAACAGTGGCCCCTTTCTGAAACTTCTGGCCTGCCCCTTTAGATAATATAAATACATTTGCCTATATATCCACAGACATTCAGAAACATCACCTTTTCTTTTACCTGAAATGTGGCTATACAGTGAAAAACCTTTGTGACTTTTGGCCCACTTTGTGTGTGTATCTATATGTATACATATATAGAGAGCGCTCTGCCTATATATTAATATCATCTCTTCTTTCCTTGAATATTGGTCCTATACTATATCCTCTGTGTATGTGTGCGTATATCTATATCACCTCTTCTTGACCTGAATGTTGGCTCTATAGGTAAACCCCTCTGTGCCCACCCTGTAGCTCAGTGGTTCTCAACCTGTGGGTCCCAAGGTGTTTTGGCCTACAACTCCCAGAAATCCCAGCCAGTTTACCAGCTGTAAGGATTTCTGGGAGTTGAAGGCCAAAAACATCTGGGGACCCACAGGTTGAGAACCACTGCTTTAGATAATGTGYCAGGCCTGGGCCAACTTCGACCCTCTCTTCCAGGTGTTTTGGACTCCCAACTCCCASAAWTCCTAACAAATGTTAGGATTTCTGGGAGTTGAAGGCCAAAAACATCTGGGGCCACCTTGGACCCTCCCTTCCAGGTGCCTTACTTTCCCTGAACATTGACTCTATTGTGAAACTCCTCTTGTGGCTTCTGGCCTACCCCTGTAGATCATCCCTTTTTCTTTCCCTGAAATGTGGCTTCTGGTCCATCCAGGTGGTTCTCAACGTGGGGTCCCCAGATATTTTTGGCCTTCAACTCCCAGAAATCCTAGCCAGTTTATCAGCTGTTAGGATTTCTGGGAGTTGAAGGCCAAAAATATCACGGGACCCCAGGTTGAGAACCATAATATGTTAGGYCTGGGTCAACTTGGGCCCTCCCTCCAGGTGTTTTGGACTCCCAACTCYCACAATTCCTAACAAATGTTAGGATTTCTGGGAGYTGAAGGCCAAAAACAGGTTGAGAACCACTGCTATAGATAAGGTGTCAGGCCTGGRCCAGCTTGGACCCTTCCTTCCAGGTGTTATGGACTCCAACTGGGTGTTCCAGGTGTTATGGGCTCCAACTGGGAGTTGAAGGCCAAAAACATCTGGGGACCCACAGGTTGAGAACTGTAGGCCTGGGCCAACTTGGACCCTCCCTTCCAGGAGCCTTTCTTTCCCTGAACGTTGACTCTATTGTGAAACTCCTCTTGTGGCTTCTGGCCTACCCCTGTAGATCATCCCTTTTCCTTTCCCTGAAATGTGGCTTCTGGCCCATCCTGTAGATAATATGTTAGGCCTGGGCCAACTTGGGCCCTCCCTCCAGGTGTTTTGGACTCCAACTCCCACAATTCCTAACAAATGGCCTACCCCTGTAGATCATCCCTTTTTCTTTCCCTGAAACGTGGCTTCTGGCCCATCCTGTAGATAATATGTTAGGCCTGGGCCAACTTCCCTCTCCCAGTTGTTTTGGACTCCAACTCCCACAATTCCTATGGGTTGTTAGGAATGGTGGGAGTTGTGGGGGCCAAAACACATTAAGGGAAGGCCCAAATTGGTTCTTGTTTAGGACTCCAACTCCTGTAGATAATATGTTAGGCCTGGGCCAACTTCCCCCTCCTAGGTGCTTTGGACTCCAACTCCCACCATTTCTATGGGTTGTTAGGAATGGTGGGAGTTGTGGGGGGCAAAACACATTAAGGGAAGGCCCAAGTTGGCTCTTGGCCTGCCCTATTATCTACAGATACACAGAAAGATCCCCTTTCTTTCTTTCTTTCTTTCCCTGTGGATTGGGAGACTGAGGGAAGTGGGGGAAGGAAGGGGGGGGGATGTTAGAGAGAGAGAGAGAGAGAGAGAGAGCGTATATTCGGCGTAGAGTGTATAAAAACCTTGGCGGTTTGCGCCTCGATGAGCGAGACGATGTCCTTGGCGAAGGGCACGTTCTCCTCGGCCAGGATGGTCAGCATGTTGATGTGCGGCTTGCTGTTGAAGGTCAGGTCCTCGAGCGACGACTGGTAGTCGCGGCAGGCGTCCTCGCCGCCCCCGCCCGAGCTGGGCCCTTCCGACGCCGACGAGGAGGAGCTGCTGCTGCTGCTCGACGACATCCTCCTCCTCCTCCTCCCCCAGGGCTGACAGGCCGAGGAGAGAAAGAAGGCACAGGCCAGGCCGGGAAACCCCTTCCTCCTCCTCCCACCCCGAGCGCTCAGACCCCGCCGGCCTTCTTCCCCAGGCTCATCGTGGGCTCCGTCTCGCCGCCTCTCTCCGTCGCTGCAACCGCCGTCTTCTCACGAAACTCCCTCACAAAATGGCGGCGAAGACCGCCTTCCTCTCCCACCGGCTCCAACCGCTGCGTCATATGAAATTGTTCTGGGGGAGGGGCGGAGCGCCTTTTGTTCGCTGCGCGCGACGCCATTGGCTGGACCGCCCTCGCTTCCCCGCGTCCCCATTGGTCCGTGCACACCACGCCGCCACGTTGATTGGTTCACACCCCTCTCAGACCCGTTTGGATTCGTTACGCCTCACCAAGTCCCGCCTTTCTTTATTTCCCTTAGACGTTTGCTTAGGCCCTCTCTCTATCCCGACGTTGGATGGAAAAGCTTCTGTTAATCCCTCGTTTCCTATTGGTCGGTTTATTTGGTCACCTGTTGCTATGGAAATGAAGGCTAGTTGAGGCCTACCTCAAAGTTCTTCATAGATTTCCACTACTACAGGGAAGAAGCCAGTCTATACTGCCATATAACCCAGTTCAAAGCAGATAATGTGGGATTTTATTCAGCTGTATGGGAAATACCTCAAAAAACCCAGGGCCCTTCCACACAGCCCTATATCCCAAACATGGAGGAAGAAAATCTCACAATATCTGCTTTGAACTGGGTTATCTGAGTCCACATTCAGATAATGTGGGATTTTATTCACCTCAAAACACCCAGGGCCGTTTCACACAGCCCTATATCCCAAACCTATATCCCCAACATCTATTTCTGCTTCATTGACTACTCTAAAGCCTTTGACTGTGTGGATCATAATAAATTGTGGCAAGTTCTTGGTGGAGTGGGCATCCCAAGCCACCTTGTCTCTCTCCTGAGGAATCTGTACAAGGACCAAGTAGCAACAGTCAGAACTGACCACGGAACAACAGACTGGTTCAAGATTGGGAAAGGCGTACGGCAAGGCTGCATCCTCTCACCCAACCTTTTTAACTTGTATGCAGAACACATCATGCGAGGATGTGCGGGGCTTCAGGAATGCAAAGCTGGGGTGAAAATTGCTGGAAGAAACATTAACAACCTCAGATATGCAGATGACACCACTCTGATGGCCGAAAGCGAGGAGGAGCTGAGGAGCCTTCTAATCAAGGTGAAAGAAGAAAGCGCAAAAGCCGGGTTGCAGCTAAACATCAAAAAAACCAAGATTATGGCAACAAGAATGATTGACAACTGGAAAATAGAGGGAGAAACCGTGGAGGCCGTGACAGACTTTGTATTTCTAGGTGCAAAGATTACTGCAGATGCAGACTGTGGCCAGGAAAGCAGAAGACGCTTACTTCTTGGGAGGAGAGCAATGTCCAATCTCGATAAAATAGTAAAGAGTAGAGACATCAGACTGGCAACAAAGATCCATTGCCTAGTCAAAGCCATGGTATTCCCTGTAGTCACCTACGAATGTGAGAGCTGGACCTTAGGGAAGGCTGAGCGAAGGAAGATCGATGCTTTTGAGCTGTGGTGTTGGAGGAAAGTGCTGAGAGTGCCTTGGACTGCGAGAAGATCCAACCAGTCCATCCTCCAGGAAATAAAGCCCGACTGCTCACTGGAGGGAAGGATACTACAAACAAAGCTGAAGTACTTTGGCCACATCATGAGGAGACAGGAAAGCCTAGAGAAGACAATTATGCTGGGGAAAGTGGAAGGCAAAAGGAAGAGGGGCCGACCAAGGGCAAGATGGATGGATGGCATCCTTGAAGTGACTGGAATGACCTTGAAGGAGCTGGGGGTGGTGACGGCCGACAGGGAGCTCTGGCGTGGGCTGGTCCATGAGGTCACGAAGAGTCGGAGATGACTGAACGAATGAACAACAACAACATATCCCCAATGCCAAAGATACAGCTTAATAGTGTAACATTAGAAAATGTTGACCATTTCCGCTACCTTGGCAGCCACCTCTCCACCAAAGTCAACATCGACACTGAAATACAACACCGCCTGAGCTCTGCGAGTGCAGCATTTTCCCGAATGAAGCAGAGAGTGTTTAAGGACCGAGACATCCGTAGGGATACCAATGTGCTTGTCTACAAAGCTATTATCCTCCCAACCCTACTATACGCCTGCGAAAAGTGGACTATCTACAGACGTCACATGCAACTATAACGATTCCATCAGCGCTGCCTCCGAAAAACCCTGCAAATCTCTTGGGAAGACAAGCAGACAAATGTCAGTGTGCTGGAAGAAGCAAAGACCACCAGCATTGAAGCGATGGTCCTCCGCCATCACCTCCGTTGAACTGGCCACGTTATCCGGATGCCCAACCACCATCTCCCAAAGCAGATGCTCTACTCCAAACTCAAGAACAGAAAACGGAATGAGATTTAAAGATAGGCTCACAGCCAACCTTAAAAACTTTGGCATAGACACTGAGAACTGGGAAGCCCTGGCCCTTGAGCACTCTAGCTGGAGGTCAGCTGTGGCCAGCTGTGCTGCGGAATCTGAAGAGGCATGAATGGAGGGTGAAAGAGATAAATGTGGCAAGAGGAAGGTACGTCAAGCCAACCCCAACCGGGATCGCCTTCCACCTGGAAACCAATGACCTCACTGTGGGAGAACATGCAGGTCAAGAATGGGGCTCCACAGTGCACACTCAGATAATGTGGGATTTCCTGCCTTGATATTCTGGGATATAAGGCTGTGTAGAAGGGCCCCCAGTTCAAAGCAGATATTTTGAGTTACATGGCTGTGTGGAAGAGCCAATAATATAGCCATATGGTATTTGTAGTACATTTTTGGCAGGACGTTTTCATTTATGAGAAAGCCGTTACTTCACCAAAACATTTAACGTAAATAAACCACATGTTGAACAAAGCCTTTTGTTGCATAGATCATTTATTTATTTTTCGTGTCAGAAACTAAATTGAGAATACAGTTATAATTTTTTAAAAACTACAAACAAAAAATTGGCATGATGCTAGATTTCCTTTGACCAGAACCTAGTCACTTGGAGTGCCTCTGGTATTGCTGTAAGAAGGTCCTCCATTGTGCATGTGGCAGGGCTCAGGCTGCGTTGGAGTAAGTGGTCTGTGGTTTGCTCTTCTCCACACTCGCATGTCGTGGACTCCACTTTGTAGCCCCATTTCTTAAGATTCGCTCTGCATCTCATTGTACCAGAGTGCAACCTGTTCAGCACCTTCCAGGTCGTGCAATCTTCTATGTGCCCAGGAGGGAGTTTCTCATCCAGTCTCAGCCATTGATTGAGGTTCCAGGTTTTAGCCTGCCACTTTTGGACTCTTGCTTGGTGAGGTGGCACGATCGTCAGCATAGATGAAACTCTCTCTCCCTTCAGGCAGTGGCTGATCATTTGTGTAAATGTTAAATACTGGTGGAGCATGCACACTCTTCTGTTTTCACTATCTGCTTCTCTGGTCCTGGAATTCAACAAAAATGCTCCTGTTTTTTTGCAGATTTCCTATGAAGCAGATAAGGTGGTAATCCTTTGTAATACTATACATTTTCTCAGGAGAGGGCAATGATTTATATAGTTCCTTTAAAAAGCATGAAAGAGGAACATGCAAACAGAATGGTTTCCAATTGGCAAGGGGGGATATCCTCAGCTATTACATCATTGTATTGAAGTAATCTGAAAACCCCCTTGAAATGCAAACATATCTTTTTCCCCCTAAGGACAAATTATTTTTTTCTGTAGTATATCATATGATGAGACCTCCAGGAATACATTCAAGTCAACACACTTAATTGTTATTTCCAATTGATCCAAAATAAACCTTAATGGCCATTCTGAAGCAGACTGAGAATTCACATGGGTCCCGCTTGTACTTTCAGCAATTCCATATAATAATAATAATATAGCCTTACGGCATTTGTAGTACAGTCCAGTGTTCACCTCCTATTTTACAAGACTGGGTTTCTAATCAAAAGTTACAGGACCCTTCCACACAGTCATATAATCCAGAATATCAAGGCAGACCATCTACAACAGGGGTCCTCAAACTAAGGCCTGCGGGCCAGATACGGCCCTCCAAGGTCATTTACCCGGCCCTCGCTCAGGGTCAACCTAAGTCTGAAACTACTTGAAAGCACACAACAACAACAACAACAACAACAACAATCCTATCTCATCAGCCAAAAGCAGACCCACACCTCCCATTGAAATACTAATAAGTTTATATTTGTTAAAATTGTTCTTCATTTTAATTATTATATTGTTTTTAAGTATCTTTTGCTCTACAAATAAGATAAGTGTGCATAGGAATTCATTCATGTCTTTTTCAAATTATAATCCAGCCCTCCAACAGTTTGAGGGACTGTGACCTGGCCCTCTGTTTAAAAAGTTTGAGGACCCCTGATCTACAATATCTGCTTTGAACTGTGTTAACTGAGTCCACATTGCCATATAACCCAGTTCAAAGCAGATAATGTGGGATTTTACATAGCTGTGCAGAAGGGGCCGCAGTCGGAATATGTGTATTGTACATGAAGCACAACAAGAATACAGAGAAGAAAAACATGTTATTCCCTAATATGTTTAAGCGCTAACATGACTCAGAAATATTCACACACACATACACACACACATATAATACCTATATACTCCTGTATTTACTCGAGTCTAATGTGGCATTGAATATAATGCACACCTCAATTTTCAAAACCCTAAAACAAAAGCAAAAAATGGATTTGCTGACAAATGTAATGCGCAGTGGCCAAACGTGCACTCTTTGTAATTTGGTCAAAAAAGGTGTGCATTACAGTGGCTGTCTGCTTAGACTTCCTTATTTAAAAACAGAAGTGTTCGGACACCAAAGCTTCCAGCAATTGGGGAGGGACCTTGGGGTGCATCTATGCTGCAGAATGAATCCACTTTAATTGCCTTGGTTCAATGCTATAGGGTCCCGGAGGCCGTTGTTTGACAATGTTTTGAGCCTTCTCTGCCAAAGGCTGCTGGTGCCTCACCAAACTACAAAAGCATAGGATTGCATAGCATTGAGTCCTGGCTCTTTAGTTAGAGATGACCTCACTTAATAATAATAATAATAAACCTTTATTTATACCCTGATAACATCTCCAGAAGGACTCGGTGCGGCTTACAAAAGGCCGAGGCCCAACACATCAATAAAACAACAGCATAACAA